TTCAACAATAAACAACATATATGATATAGAGGACAGTACATCTAACAACTGTATTGTATCTTTAGCACCACCTTCTCGTCTAGACACTCATCACACTAGATCTTGGAGGTAATGAAATACGTGCTGATGGAGCACAGCATTTAGGTAATGCATTGCAGCACAACAAAGTAATTGTCACTCTCTCTCTCTCGCTCATTAACTGTATTGTGTCTTCACCTACACCTTTTTATGTAGACACTTGCCACGCTAAGTCTCACACATAATTATATTCGAGATGTTGGAGCACAACATATTAGTGATGGATTGCGCCACAACACAGTAATTACTACTATATCTCGTTAAATGTATCATATCTTTATCATCTAGACACTCACCACACTATATCTCGAATCTAATAATATCTACGATACAGCAGTACAACATTTCGCTAATGCATTACGACACAACACCGTAATTGCCACTCTTTCTTTAACTGTGCCATGTTTTGACCTCCACCCATTCATCTAGACACTAACCACACTAGATCTATGTGTTAATCAAATCGGGCATGTCGGCGCACAACATTTAGGTGATGCATTACGATACAACGCCGTAATTGTCATTCTCTATTTAACTATATAATGTTGTTACTCCCACCTTGTTATCTAGACACTCACTACACTAAATCTCTATGCCAATCACATCGGACCTGTTGGAGCACAACATTTGAGTGATGCATTACAACACAATAAAGTAATTGTCACTCGCTCTTTAACTATATTGTATCTTTATCTCCACCCTTTCATATAGACACTCACCACACTAAATCTCGGATCTAATGATATCGGAGATATTGCAGCACAACATTTAGGTGATGGATTACTATACAACACAGTAATTACCACTCATCATTTATCTGTATCGTGTCTTTTCCTTTACTTGTCATCTAGACACTTACTACACTAAATCTCAGAACTAATCAAATCGGAGATATCACAGCACGACATTTGGCTGATGCGTTACGATACAGCACAGTAAGTGTCCCTCTCTCTTCCACTGTACTCTGTCTTTCCCTCCACTTTTTCATCTAGACACTCACTACATTAGAACTCCAATATAACAAAATCGGAGACATTGGAGTACAACATTTGGCTGATGCACTACAACGAAACACAGTCATTATCACTTTGTTTTCAAATATATCGTGTCCTTATCTCCACTTTTTCATTTAGACACTCACGACACTAGATCTTGGACAAAATCACATCGGAGACGTTGGAGCACAGAATTTGGCCCATGCATTACAGCGCAACACAGTTAATATCGCTGTCTTCTTAACTGTAACATGCCTTCACTGTCACTTTTTCGTCTAGACACTTGCCACACTAGATCTCAGCACTAATAAAATCGGAGATGTGGGAGTACAACATTTGGCTCATGCATTACAGCATAATACAGTAATTGCCACTGTTTCCTTACCTGCAACATGTTTTCACCTTCATTTTTTCGTTTAGACACTTATCACACTACGGCTCGCGACAAATGATATTGGATATGTTGGAGCACAGCATTTGAGTGATGCATTACTGCACAACACAGTAATTCTTACTATCTTCTCAACTGTATCGCATCTTTACCTCGTTCTTTTCGTCTAGACACTCACGACATTAGTTCTCCAAAATAGTTATAAGATGGGTGATGTTGGAGCACAATATTTGGCCTATGCATTACAGCACAATAAGGTAATTGTCATTCCCTCTTCATGTTTATCGGATCTTTACTTTCACTTTTCCATGTAGACACTCACCATACTGAATATCGGTAATATTCGCATTGGAGCTGTTGGAGCACAACATTTAGCCCACGCATTACGACGCAACACAGTATTTGTTATTATAACTTCATCTATATCATTTATTTACGTTAACATGTTCATTTAGACACTTACTATACTAGATCTCTGGTGTAATGATATTGGATATATTGGAGGACAACATTTCAGTGATGCATTGCAACATAACAGAGTAATTGTCACTATGTCTTCAACTGTATCGTGTCATTCGCTTCATCTTTTCATCTAGACACTTACCAAACTGAATATCGGATCTGAATACATTGGAGGTGATACTATGCATGAGATCAATGGATTTATGAGACGCAATAAAAGTGAAAGAAAATCGGAAATGGTAATAATAAATGTATTTGGATGACGAATCAATACCTAGTGACGATCATCCGATTATTTTTCTTATAACTTTTACAGAAAAAATAAATAAAAAAGCTTCTTTTCACATTTAATGTGTGTTGTGATGACAATTTTTGATTTGCATTTTACTAAATGTGAATGGGAACAATACTACTTGGGAAAACTAAAGGAGCTTCTAATGAACTCTTCAATGACTGTGCAGCAAGGGTGAAACCAAGCTTTGGTCTATATAAAAATAGAAAAACTTTAAAAGATTCTCTTCAATAACTCTAAGCTACAGGAAGTAGTGTGTGTTGGAGAGAAAATTCTGAAAGATTTTTCTTATTGATAATAGTAAAAATCATATTCTCTCGCTCTGTTGATAAAATACTGTTTTTTCTTAATTCATATCAACTTTTGTTTCTCTTTTTTTTCATCTCTGAAATGTTACTTTGATAATTTCAACTTAGTTTATCTCTGACAATGCTTATATTAATGTGTAGTTTTAATGTTAAAATTATATGGTATTCATTTGAGTTACTTATTTTTGCATGACTTATCGAGAAAAAGAAAAGTCTTGAATAAATGAAATTAAATAATAGTTTTACTAAATTGAAAAGTAACAGAAAAAAAGAAAAAAGAATGAATATGAAAATTGATTAGTTTCTTTTTTTCTAATTCTACAATGAAAAGATTTTCTTAAATGACAAACAATGTAGAAAGAAGAAGAACTTCTTTTTGTACATAAAAAAGTGTCCAATATAACTGGTAAACATGTATTTGAGATAGATGAAGTCAATGAAAAAATTGATGTAAAATATGAAATAGAAATGTTATATGAATATTAAAATAAATGTAAAGTTTTTCGTTATTTTTGAAAACCAAGATAAAATAAAGAATCAAGGTTTTTTTCTATTAAAATGTACTTTTTTTATTTTCTTAGAGTAGCTCACAAAAATCATGATATTGTTTAGTTAACTATAATATGAAATAGCATTTATCGTTTGTTATGTGATCCTTTTTTTTTGATGACATGGCATTGGAAATAATGATGATGATAAAAATAAGAGCATTAATAAACGTATTCTGTTATTATACAGAGTATTTGCATATGTAGTTATTGCATGAGAAAATATATCTTTAATCTTTATTTTTGCAAATAAGGATCAAGTAACACCCGTATAAAGTAACGATCATAACATTTTGTTTTTCATTCGTCTGTATGAAATCAACGTTTTTATAATGCATTAGGTAGTATTTCATAGCTTGTTGTTAAGTAGAAGCAAGAGCAGCAAAAAAAGAAATTCCTTGGAGATTCTTTTTTTCTTCGTCAAAACAGCCATATCATCCAGACCGGTCGAAACCCGTTGGCTAATTCCGGTTATTTTTCAACTGGCGGGTTAACCGTGATTATCTTCGTTGTTCTCAGCCTTCTGCTGGATAAAAATCAATGGTTAACCAGACAAGTGATCAGTTAGCAAACAAGAAATAGATTAGTTTTTCGGTTAACTGGGGAGGGGGAACCGCAATTAACCGTCGATTTTTATCTAGTAAAACGCTGAGAACCAAGGAAATAACCGCGGTAACTCACGGGTTGAAACAATAATCGAAATTAACCAGCGGGTCTCGATCGGTTTGGATGACATGGGTACATAGACAAATTTCTTATAGCGGATTACATTAATAACTGAAAGTTGTCAAAAAAACTTAACCATTTCTTTTTCATTCTCTGCTTATTACTAAGGAATATCTGTGCTGATCTTCGTTTGTGTTTCATAAAAACATCTACAAACACTATCGTTGAAAAACCCATTATCGTCCAATTCGAAAAAATCTGGATAAGAAGTCGAGACACTATGAAATGAGCTACCTTACTGATTCTTTCTTTCGCAAATTTTGTTTTAGACTACTCAGGTATAACGCATTCATATTACAAATAGCAAATAATATGAACTAATGGCAACTAGTAAATCAAATAGTACAAAAGAGATTGAATCAACATCTAGCCACTTCAAGCGTACAAATGCAAATCAACATACTAAGATGCAAAGAATGCAAAATATTCTTCTAGTCTGGTTGGACAACAATATTAATGGTAATAATGCCGATTGTAGTCACACTATCAAGCAATTGAAACGTGTAGTTAACAACGTAAACAGGTTTACAGATGACAAACAATGTATTGAATTTATTCAAACTATTACCAATAACAAAGTATGTATGATTGTTTCTGGTTCACTTGGAAAACATATTGTGCCTCATGTGCATGATATGTCCCAAGTAGACACCATTTTCATTTTTTGTAACAATCGAGAATGGCATGAACAATGGGTCAAAGAATGGCCTAAAATCAAAGGAGTCTTCACAAATATAATATCAATTTGTGAAGCTCTTGAACAAACTGCTTACCAATGTGAACAAAATACCACATCAATCAGCTTTGTGGCATCAAACAAAAATTTGGATCAATTAGATCCATCATTTATGTATACTCAGATCTTGAAAGAGATCTTATTAACCATCAACTTCGAAGACAAACATTTCAAAGAATTTATTACGTATTATCGTGAAGTATTTGTCGAAAATGAGTATGATTTACATAATATTGAAAAAATGGAATGTGACTATCATAATCAAAGACCTATTTGGTGGTATACTTATCAATATTTTTTATATTCGATGCTCAATCAAGCATTAAGATCAATGGATGTTGATATTATTGTTCGAATGGGTTTCTTTATTAATGATCTACATCGTGATATTCAACGACTACATTCTAAACAATTTAATAGTGAACCATCTAGTGAAACATTTACAGTTTATCGTGGGCAATGTCTTTCGAAAGAAGATTTCACTGAAATGACAAAAACTAAAGGTGGACTTCTTTCATTTAATAACTTTTTATCGACTAGTACAAATCGTGATGTTTCTCTCTGTTTCGCACCACAAGCTGCTGCAAATCCTGATCTTGTTGGAATTCTATTTGTTATATCCATTAATCCTACGAATTCAACAACTCCATTTGCTTCTGTTACAGATGTTAGTTACTTTCATACAGAAAATGAAGTTCTTTTCTCTATGCATACCATTTTTCGCATTGGAAATATTCAACCAATGGATGGAAATAATCATCTCTATCAAGTGAATTTAACATTAACCAATGACAACGATCAAGACCTTCGAACTCTTAGCGATCAGATCCGGCAAGAGACCTTTCCAGATGCAGAAGGGTGGTACAGATTGGGATTATTACTGATTAAAATGGGTCAATTTACCAAAGCTCAAGAAATTTATCAAGTTTTACTTCATCAAGCAACAAATGAGAGTGACAAGGCACCGATTTACTATGAACTAGGTTGGATCAAATATAACCAAGGAGAATATCAAGAAGCACTTTTATCTCTTGAAAAAGCTCTTACAATTCGACAACAATTACTTCCTTCCAATCATTCTAATTTGGGAGATTCCTATAACAGAATCGGTAATGTGTATTACCGCAGGGGTGATTATTCAGAAGCACTTTCTTATTATGAAAAAGCCCTTGCAATTCGACAACAATCACTTCCTTTTAATCATTCTGATTTGGGCCATTCCTATATGGGCATCGGTAATGTATATTACTGCAGGGGTGATTATTCAAAAGCACTTTCTTATTATGAAAAAGACCTTGCAATTCGACAACAATCACTTCCTTCTAATCATCCTGATTTGGGTGCTTCCTATATGGGCATCGGTAATGTGTATTACCGCAGGGGTGATTATTCAGAAGCACTTTCTTATTATGAAAAAGACCTTGCAATTCAACAACAATCACTTCCTTCGAATCATCCTGATTTGGGTGCTTCCTATATGGGCATCGGTAACGTGTACTACAGTATGACTGATTATTCAAAAGCACTTTCTTATTATCAAAAAGGCCTTACAATTCAACAACAATCACTTCCTTCTAATCATCCTGATGTGGGTGCTTCCTATATGGGCATCGGTAATGTGTATTACTGCGAGGGTGATTATCCAAAAGCACTTTCTTATTATCAAAAAGGCCTTACAATTCAACAACAATCACTTCCTTCTAATCATCCTGATTTGGCTTCTTCTCGCATGGGCATCGGTAATGTGTATTACTGCAGGGGTGATTATCCAAAAGCACTTTCATCTCATGAAAAAGCCCTTACAATTCAACAACAGTCACTTCCTTTCAATCATCCTGATTTGGGTGCTTCCTATAACAACATCGGTGTAGTGTATGAGAATATGGGCAACTATTCAAAAGCTCATTCGTTTTACGACCGTGCTATACAAATTGGACAACAATCATCACCAACAAATCATCTTAATCTTCAAATATATAGAAAAAACCTTGAACGCACGAAAAAGAAATTATACTTTCTTTCTGTATTTGTTTTGAAAGTAAAATAAAACTGATGAAAAAAAATGTGTCTATTAAAACTCTGTACTTGTTGAGAACACAATATGAACAGTAACATTCACCGATAAGGTAAACAATACCTATTAAAAAGATATGTATTGTGCAAGAGACCTTCTCGGTTATATTATTATGTCTGAACAAGTAGAGTTTCGTTGTGTGAGACAACAAAGAAAGATACTCAACAGAAACATAGAAGAATAGGAGGAGAGAAAAAGTTTATTTATCAATAGAATGAATTATTCTTTCTGTTCCAATATGAAAGAGTAGTTCATATCACTGATAAACTCCTCTATATTGAATGATGATATGGGTTTATATAGTATCCATGGTTGTATAGATGAGAAAAGAATTCATTTTATTCGAATACAACTCCATTGAGCAGAAAACAAGTTTTTTTTCTTTTCTCAGAAAATATCTAATGCATGAATATTTATATCACAATGCGTAAATTTAAAAACTTATAACTTCTTTAAATTATGACGACCGAGAGTGCAAGTGTCAATGCTAATAAAAAAATTTGACATTCATATCCATGCCATCATACACTCCCAACTGGATAACTCAATCTATTTTTATTTCGATAAAAGATTGTGTGGAGATTTTTACTGAAACATTGTTGCATATTGATTAATAAAAAAATGTACAAGTTAAATGATAAATTAGATTATTTATATTTTTAACAGGTTTTATTCGTTATTAAAGAAAAAAATTGAAAAGTAACAAAAAATAATTATTTATCAAAAGTTATTTGGTCATCGAAAAATCAAATGATAAATCTTCAGGGATTGTGAGCTGCGTTGATTCACTTCCAGACAGTGTTTCACCAACAATACCAATACCTTGTTTCATCTGGCGACCAGCGCATTATTTGATGACCTCTGGCATTCGGCACATAATTATTACCCATTGCTAAGCCGAAGGAAACAATAAGATGTATCAATATTTGTTGATCCTCAATATTTTGACGAGACTATTGCATCACTCGTTCGTTACCATGATCACAAATGATAAGATATTTCTTCTCTCTATCAAGAATTACATCTCTTGGATAAGCCAGTTGATCTATTTTAGCTCTATGTCCAGTTCCTCCAGCAACAGTAGATGCATTCTGTTTGCATTTCGTATTCTCATTAATGATAACAGAAGGAAGTATTTGTTCTATAAAACATTAAAAAACGTTTCAATTTATTTTTATTTCTTTTGATCTAAAAAAGTTTTTCTTAAAAATAAAACATATTTTGTTTTATTGAACATAATGTGTAGGTGGATGAACTATGAATTCGATACAACATTCTCATTCACCTTTCAGTGAATCTTCCGATATTATTCCATATAAGTATGATATATGACTATGGATTATCAAAGATTAAACTATTTTAGATTGCATAAAAAACTACTTTTAACAAAATCATACCGTTTGTTGTTGTTATCATCCTCATTGTTGATGTTCTTCCTCTGTTTGTTTTGTTCACTGAAACAATAGTTGTTGGAATAACTATAATTACAACAATGAAAATAATGAGAAATGTTATCCAAATTAATTTTCTTTTTCGAAAATGTTCATATCTAAAATAATAAATTCTTTTAATAATTTATTGTGATTCATTATATATACATACAATATTCGTAATCGAGTTGTATTAGTGTGAACTAATGAAGGCTAAAATATTTAAAAAAAGAATAAGATTGTTTTTCTTTCTATTTAATACATTACTTCCTCAAGTTTAACTCTATTATTGATGTTCATAGTTATTGGTCTATCCGCATTTGAGTATTATTACAATCTAAAATCGATAAAAAAAACTCTTTTGCTTCAAAGATCATTCATAAATTAATCAAAATAAAACAATGTGAAAATGATGTAGATTTCTCTACTTCTACTCAGTTAAATAATCAGTTCAAAATATTGTAACATCTGCAATAACAAAAAAATATCCTATATCAATATAGAAACATGAATCTTACTTCCTTTTCCTACAGTTAGTTTTTGAACAAAATGCAGAAATTATTTAAGATAATATTTATTATGATTTAGAAAAACACAAAAGAAACAGAAGCTCAGAATATGACGGCAAATGTTGCATAAGATATATTGAGAAGAAATAGAATATTTGTTGTTAGAAATGTATTGTATTTGATATAAAACCTGACTTCAACCGCTTACGTCTATATTTAACCAAAATTTATGATATTTTGAAGAATTCTTAAGACCTTTTATACACGTATTGTGATTATCATAACCTAAGTTTTTATTAAGCAAAGCTGAGAATACAATGTACTTCACCAGTAAGCATAAGAAAAAAGAAACGAAACAAAATAATAATAAAAAACCAAAAAAATAAATGAATTTTTTATCTTCAATAACAATAAATTCTCTTATATGAATATGCTAACGAAGAATAGAAAACGAAACAAAATTATTAGTTATATCTAACGATGTCCCATAAGTTTAGCATGTAAATAATCATCAATTAAACTTTTTGTACCATTTTCATAAATAGCTTCAATTTCCATTTTACGTTGATGTTGTTCAAAAAATGATACTTGACGACGCCATTCATCATTTATATCAGATCGTTGAATAAATCTATTAATCATTCGACGTTCACGTTCATCAGTTATTGGTAATGTTTGTGAAATAGTTAATGATGATAATGAAATTAATTCTTCAGGCCATACACCTAACCATCGTATACGATTACGATAATTTTCATTTAAACTTGATTGATATGTACAAGCAATTAATACACCAAATATATCACAATCAGTTAATATATAAATAGGTGTATCATTATATAGACGAGATAATTGTTGTAGAAAAGAACGTGTTGCATGATCAGGTTGACCACGACCTGTTATTAAACATGCATTACGATAACGAATTAAAAAACCATTATTAAGTAAATGCTAAAATAATTTTATTTACAATATCCTATAAAAGCTAGGAGAAAAAAAGATATTACTTGAAAAACTGTATCTTTTTCAACAACAAGTATAAATGAAATACGATGTTCTGTTTCAATTATTTCAACATCATCATCAACGATTAATTGACCATTAGATAATTGATTACAATCAACAATATCTCCGCTACGTAAATTTCGATATTGTATATTACCTAAAATAATGATATGATTAAGAAAAATTTTTTTTTTTCTATTTAATTAAATTTCTAACCAGCACAAAATCCTTTAGCTGTAGCAACAAATCCTAATTGACGTCGATCAACACATAAATGTCGTGCAATTTGTTCAATAATATTATCGCTTACACGTTGATGACGAAAAAGATTTACTTGAGAATAAAATAATTCTCTTATATTCATTCGACTTTGTGTACGAACAAGACGATGAATTGTTGATAAAACATATATATATTGTGTAAAATCTCGACGATCTTTATCATCAATTTTATTATTCCATTCATAATTTTGTCCATTAAGAATCATTGATGGTGATGTTGAAGGTAGTTTATACATTTGTTCAACACATAACATACATAAATGTTCAATAGTATTTAAAATTTTAAAACGAATATTATCTGACATGATCTAAAAATAAGTATACATGTGTGTGTGTACTTAACGGAAATGTTTAGAAAGTATATCGAGAAATACGTTAATCGAAAGTTAACGAACTGTCAGAAAAAGAACAGCTAACGGAATATCACTATTATTAACCTTCTATAAATAGTTTATCACTAGATGTCACACACAGTATCAAATTATAATTGATCTTGGTAACAATTCAAATCTAGCTACTAGATGTCTTTCATGAATACTTTATAATTCAGTATTTATGATTTTATTTATTAAACCTTCTTGATCGCACCCACACCTATATCCTCAAGATGGATCGAACATATCAAATATGTGCTGACCTCTGGTATTACAAAAATATGATTGGTGAAAGCAACGAACATATACAATTGCGAAATTCTATTAATAAACAACATTCTGGAAAAAAAACATAACCATTTTATATTGCTTCATTTCTTGATGGAAATTGGTTTTGTTGTTTCATTGGAATAATTCATATCAATGAGCTCGCGTAAACAACGTCTCGACGTAGGTCCATCTTCTTCTTCATCAGCACCTTCTACTGAATCAACTAAACCACGTAAACGTCGTTTCGACGATATATCTGAAACAGATTATTTCAATAACGCTAATAAGTCAAAAGATTTTAATAATATGTCTCAAGCTAATCCAACAATTAATAAATTTACAAATCAAAATTATTCTCATCAATATTTTGAATTATTTAAAAAACGACGACAATTACCTGTTTGGGAATATAAAGAAGCATTTATGGCAACACTTGACAAAAATCAAGTAACTGTACTTGTCGGTGAAACTGGTTCTGGTAAAACAACACAAATTCCTCAATGGTGCGTTGATTTTGCACTTGCTATACCTGTCACAGGTGGACAAAAACGTCGTGGTGTTGCATGTACACAACCACGTCGTGTTGCTGCAATGTCTGTTGCGCAACGTGTTGCCAATGAAATGGATGTTGTACTTGGACAAGAAGTTGGTTATTCCATTCGTTTTGAAGATTGTTCATCACAAAAAACACTTTTAAAATATATGACTGATGGTATGTTATTACGAGAAGCTATGTCAGATCCATTACTTGAAAACTATTCATGTGTATTATTGGACGAAGCACATGAACGTACATTAGCAACAGATATTTTAATGGGTCTATTAAAAGAAGTTGCTAAACAACGATCAGATTTAAAAATAATTGGTAAGTCAAATAAATAAATAAAGAATATAATATAAAAATATTTTTCATTTAGTTATGTCTGCTACACTTGATGCTGGTAAATTTCAAGATTATTTTGACAAAGCACCATTATTAACTATTCCTGGTCGAACATTTCCTGTGGAAATTTTCTATACACCTGAACCCGAACGTGATTATTTGGAAGCAGCTATTCGTACAACTGTTCAAATTCATATGAGTGAAGAACAAGAAGGTGATATATTACTTTTTCTTACTGGTCAAGAAGAAATTGAAGATGCATGTAAACGACTTCAACGTGAAGTTGAAGGTTTAGGTCCTGACGCCGGTGAATTAAAATGTATTCCATTATATTCAACATTACCACCAAATTTACAGCAACGTATTTTTGATGCAGCACCACCAAATAAACCAAATGGTGCAATTGGTCGTAAAGTTGTTATTTCAACAAATATAGCTGAAACATCATTAACTATTGATGGTGTTGTATTTGTTATTGATCCTGGATTTTCAAAACAAAAAGTTTATAATCCACGTATACGTGTTGAATCACTTCTTGTTACACCAATATCAAAAGCAAGTGCACAACAACGAGCTGGTCGTGCTGGACGTACTCGTCCTGGAAAATGTTTTCGTTTATATACAGGTTAGAAACTAAAACACTAAAAAATTTTCTTTATTAATTTATTTTTTTTTAGAAAAAGCATATAAAAGTGAAATGCATGAAAATACATATCCAGAAATTCTTCGATCAAATTTAGGCAGTGTTGTATTACAATTAAAAAAATTAGGTATTGATGATCTTGTTCATTTTGATTTCATGGATCCACCAGCACCTGAAACATTAATGCGTGCATTAGAATTATTAAATTATGTTGCTGCTATTGATGATGAAGGAGATTTAACTGAATTAGGTTCAATGATGGCTGAATTTCCACTTGATCCACAATTAGCTAAAATGGTTATAGCATCATGTGATTATTCATGTTCAAATGAAATTCTATCTTTAACAGCTATGCTTTCTGTTCCTCAGTGTTTTGTTCGTCCAAATGATGTACGTAAACAAGCTGATGAAGCTAAAGCACGTTTTGCTCATATTGATGGTGATCATTTAACAATGTTAAATGTTTATCATGCTTTTAAACAAAATCATGAAGATAATCATTGGTGTTATGAAAATTTTACTAATTATCGTTCATTAAAATCAGCTGATAATGTTCGAACACAACTTGGACGTATTATGGATCGGTAAGAATTAAAGATTTAGTTAATCTTATAAACTATTTTGTTTTTATTTAGATTTAATCTTAAACGTACATCAACTGAATTTACTTCACCGGATTATTATATAAATATTCGTAAAGCGTTAGTCAGTGGATTCTTTATGCAAGTTGCACATTTAGAAAAAACTGGACATTATCTAACAATAAAAGATAATCAAATTGTTCAATTACATCCTTCAACTGTTCTTGATCATAAACCAGAATGGGTTTTATACAATGAATTTGTTTTGACAACAAAAAATTATATTCGTACTGTAACCGATATTAAACCTGAATGGTTATTATCGATTGCACCGCAATATTATGAATTACCATCATTACCTGATGGAGAAGCACGACGACAATTACAACGTATATATCAACGTATGGAAAATAAACGAAATGGTCAACCAACAACACAAAGATGAAATTCTTTTGTCTTTTTCATTCTTTTTCTTTCTGTTATTACTGTTTGAACATGATGGACGATGATAGATGCTCTTTTGTGTTTCTTGTTTGTTTACTATCATAAGTCTTGTTGTCAAGTGTCATTTTTGTTTGTTTTTCAGATAATGATTTAAAGCAATGACATTAAAATCTAATTGGAATATTTTATCTGATTATGATTCAGAATTTGATCTTAAATTATCATCTCGATATCCAAATGAACCATGTTCAATTTCAGCATTAAAAAAATTATCAATCAATCGAAATGAACCACCATTAACGAGATCAAGAGCTAGAGCAATTGATAATACAATTCTTTTTTCAAAACAACAATCGTCAGATAATCAATTACCAAATTCTCCGACTGATGGTGTTAATTCATTAACGAATTGGTTACAAAGTTGTAGTTTAGATGAAAGTAAATGTAAGATAAATACTTTTTTGAATGATATGATCATTAGAATAAGGGATTCAATTTTTTTTTGTTTTAGTGAATAAAACTTCTCTTCCGATTACTTCGTCATCACATCTCAAATTCAGATCAAATCCATTTTTTATTCAAACAGCTTCAACTACAACATTATACGATCAACAACAAAATCAATTATGGTCTCGTTTTCATTTTGCTACATCAACTCTTCAAGATAATGTATGGATTGAACAATTAAATTTAACATCACCAAATATATTTAGTAATCAATCATCTCCTCAAGTAGTACCACCAACAGTATTAAAACAAGATCAGATAACAAATTCTAAATTTTTAAAAATAAAAGAAGAAAATTTATTATCAAAAATCTTCTTTACTTTAATTATATTTGCTTTTGGTCTTATTCTTGGTTATTTAATAACAAATACATTTCCATCGAATCTTATTCGTCATTGGATTTATATTATTTGGAATATATGTATGTCAATAAGCATAGAATATTTTCATTTCTTATATGCTTATATTCAAATTCTTATTAAATACTTTTCATCATTTCTATTAGTTTAAATTATTTGTTTTCTTTCTCTGTATTATTTTTAGTTTAATTTGTGCACAGTGATATCTAATTGTTATTGCTTTTTTTTTCTTTTTTTTGTTATTGTTACCATAAAAAAAAATAAAACACATCATGTTTATGAAAAATTGTGATAAATAAAAAAAACCTCATCATTTTCAGAGTGAATAGAATGAGTTCAATTGAACAACTCGAAACACTTCGAAATGCTGAATTATATGATGATTGTAAAACATTGGTAATATATATTTGTAAAAACTAATATTTACTCATATTCATACTATTGAATTTTTTTTTATAGGCAGAATTTATTTTAACACTTGATGAATGTGGAAAAGATTATTTGGATAATGAACAACGTCTAATAGTTTATCGTTGTTTAGCAGATTCAACTTGGTTTTTACATGAATATCATTTAGCAGAATCTTATTTGAAAAAATTATTACATAGTTATAAACAATTAGATAAAAATAATACGATTGTTAGTAGATGATTTTTTTTTGTTATTCTAAAAAATAAGATTGTATGTTTAGATTGAACCTGATTGGCTTATTGAAAGTAAATATCGTCAACATGTATGTCTGTTGAAATTAAATCGATTGAAAGAAGGTCTTACTATTGTAAGTCGAGATTAAAAATATTGAATTTATTATTTGAAAAAATATGATTTTTTCTAGCTTGAATCTATTCCATTACATCAACGTACAGCAAAAATTCATTTAGCACTTGGACAATGTTATCAAAAAGTTGGAGGATCAACACAAGAATCAGTTAGTGCTTATCGTGAATGTTTAAAACAAAATCCTAATACATTATCGGCTTATATTGCATTACTTGCACTTGGTGTTAAATTAAATGATCTTCTTCATACACATCCATCAGCTGCATCAATCCATCATGAAAATCAAGCACAACAACCAGCACCTGTAACAATATCACCATTATTACGTCAATCATGGTTTCGAGCATTATTACAAGCTGATGCTTGTTCAGCTAGTCGAGATTTTTCTGAAGCATCAAGACTTTATCAACAAATTGATGCACAACATTTACCACAATCAACCTATGTTTTATCACAACTTGGTTATACACAATATTTAAATGGTGATTATGCACAAGCTTTACATAGTTTACAACGAGCACAACAAATTGATCCATTATTATTAAAACATATGGATATACTTGCATTTCTTACTTATACAGAATGTAAAGATAGTTCATTAGACAAGTATAGATTTTTCTAATTTATATGTATATATATCATAAAAACGTTCTATTTTAGATTAGTTAATCATTTAATGTCATTAGGAGATCATCATCCTGAAACATGGATTGCTATAGGATATTATTGTTTAAAAAAAAATCATAAACCATCACGTACTGTTTATCTTGCTCAAAAAGCTTATGCATTAGATAATACAAAAATACAAGCTTTATTACTTAAAGGTCTTGCATTATATAAATTAAAAAGATATTCAGATTCACTTGTTCATTACAAAGAAGCTGTACGTTTAACGCCTTTTTGTTTCGAAGGATATAAAGGTGTTGTTGATGGTTATTTAGCAACGAATAGATTAAGTGATGCAAGTACGTTAAAATTAAAGTGAAAAAAAACAATAATTTTTAATCATCAATTTTTTTTCTTTAGATATGTTTATAACAAATGCTGTTCGAACAAATTTAAAGGAAAATGTTCGAGCATTTACATTATGTGGCCAAGTTCTTGCAAAAGAACCATCATCATTAGATAAAGCTCGATTTTATTTAGAAAAAGCACTTTCATTTAATACAAAATATACTGATGCAATTATTTCACTTGTTGAAGTTTATGGACAATTAAAACAACAACAGAAAAGTATAGAATTGTAAGTTAAAGTTTATATGTTTATGTGAAGAAATAAAATTTATTTCAATTATTTTAGATTAAAAGAACATGTACAAATAAATAATGATCCACGTATTCGTCAATTATTAATTGAAAATTTAATGAAATCAGGTAGTAATGAAGAAATGCTTCAACAAGTTGTTCGAAATTATCCGTATGAATTTAAATATGTAACTTGAAAAAGAAATGATTTTAATTTCTTTGATAGAACATCTCATTTTGAACGACTTGAACGTGAAATGAATGATGATTCAAGTTTAGATGGTGGACGATTTGATACTGGACCAATGGGAGATCTTGATCCAATGGTAAAGAAATTTAATTCTTTTCAGAAACAATAATATAAATATTCATTTTAGTGTGATGATGTTATTGGCGAAAACTTTAGTGATGAAGATCCGTAACTGAAAACATCTGATATTTTTTTTCTCAATTTATCTATATTAATTGTATATTAAACTGATTAGTATAATAAAGAAAAACAGATATATGATATATTAAAATTTCTCTATATTTATTTGAATATAGTAAAGACTATCAAGTTTCTTCTATCTTTTATAATGATAAAAAATAATAACACACATGCACCTTCTTTTCTTTCGTCTTGTTCTATTCGTTTAAGATATTTATTGTTTGTTGTTGTTGTTGTTTCGTTCTGTGATAATATGTTGTACTTATTAGCTCCTTATTTATACACAATTACTTATCATTTACTAGTCTAACATGGTTGATATTATTAATGATCATGACCAACTTTCTAATCCATATGCTATTCAACTAACAGATGTAACTGTTCATTTAGGTAATAAAAATGTTTTAAGATCAGTTAATCTTTCTATTGAACAAGGTGGCATGTAAGATATTTGCACATATTGATTTTTGAATGTTTTAAATTATAATATTAATCTAGTTTTGCTTTACTTGGTCCAAGTGGATGTGGAAAAACAAGTTTAATACGTACATTAGTTGGTCGTTTACATCCAACTATTAATCATGATAAAAGTTATGGAACAATATCTATTCTTGGTAAACATACATATGCATTTGGTCAACTTGTTGGATTTATGCCTCAAGAAATGGCATTACATCCAACAAATACAATAAATGAAGAACTTTTTTTCTATGGTCGTTTAGCAAATATGTCTAGCGAGAAACTTCAACAACGATGTGAATTTTTAATTAATCTTCTTGAATTACCAAATCGAGAAAAATTAATTCGAAAATTAAGTGGTGGACAACAAAGACGAGTTTCATTTGCAATTGCATTAATACATGAACCAAAATTACTTATTTTAGGTATAATTTTTGTTTGTTTAAAATCTAACAAATAGAAAATTTATATAATTAGATGAACCAACTGTTGGTGTTGATCCACTTTTAAGAAGAAAGTAAAATATAAGATAATATTTATAGCAAATATATATACATATCTCATATGTAGAATTTGGAAACATTTGACAGAGATTACGATCAGTGGTGATAGAACTGCTATTGTAACAACACATTATATTGAAGAAGCTCGACAAGCAAATATAGTAAAATAGAAATAGAAATATATTCTCATAGATTTAATCTACTTATAGGTATCTTTTATGCGTCATGGACAACTTTTAGAAACAGGTCGACCCAATGATTTATTACTTAAATATGGACAACAAGTTGGTTAATGATATTTTCTTTTTAAAATATATCATAACTAACAAAAAATGTTTAATTTAGACTTTAGAAGATGTTTTTTTTGAATTATGTGAAAAAGTTCATATATTAGAAATACAAAATCATGAACAAGAAAAGAAACATCATCATAAATCTTTAACTCTTACAAATAAAGTAATTTTAAATTAAAAAATTCTTTTAAAAAAATTTAATAATTCAAATTCTTAAGCTTTGCCAAACAACTGTATCATCATCTCCCAGTAAGATTTAAAACTATTTCTTTAATTAAATTATTCTATTTTCTAGAGAAAAAATGTTGTACATTTGGACTTCATTCTTGTGCACGTCCATCATTTGGTCGTTCTCTATATGCATTACTTATAAAAGATGTACTTAAATTTCAACGAAATCCATTGTACGTGTATAATGAATGAATATATTTTGATTAGTAATTTCTTTTGTTAATTTTAGTATGTTAATGATACATCTTCTTGTTCCAATTTTACAAATTGCTTTATTTTGTTTATGTGTTGGACGAAAATTAAGTGATATTCAAGTTGGATTTATTTCACGTGAAGTAATTCGATCAAGTTCTACTACTGGATTAATATTAGATAAAATTGATAAAAATGTTCTTAATTTAGTAAAAAAAAATAAATAATCATTTAGATTTTTTATAATGATTATTTGTATTGATTAGATTGAATATAAATCGATAAGTGATGCTCAATATATGTTTAAATCAGGATGTTTATCGGGAATTATTGATATTGGTGAAAATTTTAGTAAAGAATTTCTTCAGAAAATCGAGGAATGGTAATAGAATTGTTTTTCTATTTATATTTTTATATATGAATACTATATTTTAGCTCATTATCTGATGAAAATAAATATAATGATTCACAAATGTTATTATATGTCGATCAAACAAGTAAGAAAAAGTTTTTAGAAAAGAAGAATTTGTTTTTGCTAGAATTAATTATTAGATCGACAAATGATTTACACAATTGCTGAAGAATTTTTACGAGTTTTTAAAAGTGTCGATATAGATTATCATCTAGGACTTTGGACATCTACATCTTCTGATAAAACATTATTTAAAGTAAATTAGCTTTTTTTTCTTATTAAATGTAAATATATATATATACACATCAGTTAGGACAATTTGAAAATAATCAATCTGATTTTGAATATACTTTTACTCATTTTATGGTTCCTGGTATTATTCTTTCGTAGGAACTTACATATTTTTTTGATAGATATTTATTAAACATTCTTTATTTTAATTAGTGTGATCTTTTTTTTAAATGTTGCTCTTACTGCTCTTTCACTTGTTATTGAACAAAGTGATGGAACACAAGATCGTGTATGGATTACAGGTAATTATATATATTTCTTAAGGATGAAAATTTCTTTTCTTTTACTATTTATATTTAGGTGTAAAATCCAACGAAATTATATTAAGTCAATTAATTATTCACTCAATAATACTTATTATTCAGATAACTATTATTCTATTTACTACTTTAGTCATTTTTAAAGTTAGAATTTACAATTTTTTTATTTTAATAAGAAATAAATAAATTCTATTTATTAGTTTCCATTACGAGGTAGCTTAGTACTTATATCATTACTCTGTATTATACAAGGATTTTGTGGTATGACATTTGGTAAGAGAAATAATATACATATAAATCAAAAAAAAACAATATATATATTTTTTATTTTAAAGGATTAGTGATATCGACAATTTTTACAACAGAAGTTAATGCTCATCAAGTAACTATGGCGGCTTTTTATCCCGTATTACTTCTAAGTGGTAATGATTAATTATTTGTTTTTAAAATCTTAAAAACTTAAATGAACTGTTTTAGGTATTGTTTGGCCTCTTGAAGGACAACCGATATGGATTCGTACAATTACAAAATGGTTACCAATGACAAAAGCAATCGAAGCGATGCGTGGTATACTCTTAAGAGGTATACATTCTATTAATTCATTTCTGAATAATATTTTGGTTTTATTGTTTAGAATGGAATATGAATTATTTAATTGTACAACAAGCATTTGCCGTTACATTTATTTGGACAATGTTGTTTCTTATTTTAACACTTGTTATTTTTAATTATCGTCGTTTATAATATTTTAATTAATTTTTTTTATTTTGAACATAGTGATTCATTTTTTTTATAATAAATTTGAAATATATATATATCACATTATTTTTGATTATTATCTTCCTTTTTAATGTTAAATGACACATTATTTGTCCAATCATATGTACCAGCATCTCGTTCTTTAACAGCTGTTTTCCATCCAACACTTTCTGATCGATTTTTAAATGCGATTCCTTCAGGTGAATGACGTGCAATACCATCAAATAATGTAGCAAACATTTGAGTTGTTCTCAAACCCATATTTTCTAATGTTTGATTAATCATTAACTTTTGCATAACAAGTTGATTAATTGGTATAGTAGACATTCGATGAGCTAGTTTTTCAACTTCATTATTTAGTTGTTCTTGTGGCACAGATTTTAGTACAAGTCCAAGTTTTTCAGCTTCAATACCTGTAATTTTATCACCAGTTAACAGCATTCGTTTTGCTTTTTCTATGCCAAGTCTTAAATATAAATTAGTAGTTTTTAAATATATAAAACATTTATTATCACATATGTTACCTATATATCCACATAGCAGTTGTTGGACAACCCCATACACGAACTCCCATGTAACCTATATGTGCTTCATTAGCCATTAAAATAATATCACAACATAAAGCAATATCACTTCCACCAGCTAATGCATCACCATGAATTTTACAAATAGTTGGTTTGAATGAACGAAATAAAGACATAAAATATTCCGTATTTTGTTTCATATATGTATAATCTTTCATTGAATCCCATGGCATGTCTTGTACAGCTTTTACATTTTTATTTTTGGCATTAAAAGATAAGTCATACCCAGAACAAAATGCTTTACCAGCACCAGATAAAACAATAACATGTACAGACGAATCATTATTTGCTTTTTCTACACATTCAGATAGCTCTTTTGGCATTAAACCATCTATTGAATTCAATCTTTCAGGTCGATTTAACGTTATATAAGCTATTCGATTATTAGTTTCATAGTTGATTGTTTGAAAATATGCACGTTGACAATAATTTATATTTAATTGTTTAGATCTATTCACTAGAAATTGACCCAAATGTTTAGATGTATTTGATACTATATTTGTTTGATTAAATAAATTGAATGACTTTGTTAATATTACAGACATAATAAATAAAAATTGTGCAATCTACAAGATGAATCAATTGAATCATTTAACGAAAAATTACTTTTAACTTTTCTAGCATAGAATGCATTTTCGAAGTATTTTTTTATAGCCAGATGATTGTAATTAAAAACAATAAACTGTTTGAAAAAATAAGTAATGTGTATTAACTTTGATTTTGAATTGATTTATATACAGGTACATAAGATTTAGGTGGATCGATAATATATGATATTTCATGGACAAACCAATTATAATAGAGAATACGAAAATCAAAAGATGTTATCCGTATACAACAACGATATGTGAACTTTTACCAAATTCTAAAAGTGTAATTTACAACGGAATACTAGGTTTTTTGTTTGATCTGAAGAAAGTATTTCTAACAGAGATTCTATATATTTAATACAAAAGAATTTTTGTAATAAATTACACACTACAACAAGTATTATTCGATAGCCATAGTTATGAACGTGGATGGAAGACAAATCTTGGTTGATCACATTCATACCCACACCCTTAAAATGATTGCTTCGTAACGTTTACCTGTACTAGATAAGTTGGCAACGAATAAAAACTATTGGATGAATATGTCAGACTTTTTTTATTGGCAAAACAGAATCTGTTGAAGTGAATGTATGTAAAAATTAAGCGAAGTTTTGCGTTCACAATATAAATTTTAATGTATGAAATTCTCTTGACGCAACTTCAGTTGATATATTAAAACATGTTAATAATTCTTCAAACCAACTGTATCTAGAGATTTTTATTTGATGTGCCACGTCAATCAGATCTGTTATGGCGCATATAACATTATGTATATATGTACAGAAATCTGCGACATATTGTATATGATAATTAATCCATTTGATAAGTGTATTAAAGAGTCAGATAGTGGAATTGCATTGATCTTTTCCGGTTGAAAGATTTTAGAGTTCTCAAAACGGCATTTTTTTGTTTCAGTTTCTCTTGTAGATAATTTTCTGCCAAAGAATTATTTCTTTATGAAATCATGTACTTTTGTTTTCAATACTGTGTTTGTAGCTGTCAGATTTATTCCATATAGTTTTAAAAAATGACAAAAATCACTAAAATTGATTTGTATCATATCACGATTTGAAGAAAATGATAACAAGGGATAGCACTTAGTACATCTACTTTATTGATAATCAAAGTAAAGTAAAGGCGCCATTTCTATTAATAAATATTTTTTCTACCAAACTTAAGCCAGATACGTGAATAGAAGGCGTATCTGCCGGCAACAGAATAAAGTTATCCTATTCTACATTGTACATCGATTAATAGATTTATACAGCGACCTTTTCTCTCTATATCATTGACCTGAAAAATAGGTTTAATGTAAAAATATCGAACGTAAAAATATTCATTCTTCCGTCTTGCTTCCTGAACGATTAATACTATGCTCGTCAATCGATTTATATTCGCAAGAAAAAAACTTCGCTATTCGCTTTCTTATTGTTTCTATGGAAGCACAGAAAGGAAAGAAAAAAATATATATTGAATGTATTCATTAATTATCCTTTATTTTTTTGATATTGTTGGTCAAATATTCTGTTTGCTTTGCCTGAGCACAGTTCTTTATATCTTCAGAAAAAACAGCAAAAAACCGTGAATCTTTTTCCATGGTAAATATAATTTATTAGAATTTACAAAATGTATTGACTTTAGATTGAGAAGCAAAACGATATCTGGAAATGCGCTAATAATTTATTTTATAAAAAAACTGTATTTTTTATTTTAGTCACCTGCAGCAAATTATTTACAAAATGTACAATGAATGCGATATCTATTTGGTTTGATCTGTATACCCTAGTCGAACATCTTGTAAGCAAGATCTTGGCCAAGATCTTAGGAACAGATAAGTGAACAGATCTTGAAAAAATAGGTACAGATAATTTGATTATCTTGTACACAAGATCTGTGACTAGATCTTAGGTACAGATTGTTAAGATCTTATGTACACGTTATTAATATCTTATGTATAGCCTGTTAAGATCTTGGTAACAGATATTTGAAATCTTGAGCATAGGATCTTGTAATGAATGATATTTTCGTTTTACCTCGGCAAGATCTTCAGATCTCGTACTAATATATTTAAATATAAGACCTACATGAACATACAATAACACACGTGAACATCAAATACAATTACAAACTTCAGAAAAAAACGTAATAAAATATAAACACCATAACAACTGTTTTTAATTCACAATCATCTATATAAACACAAATCATTCAGAAGTACACGAAATACAAGATAAAAAATAATAAAAATAAATATGAACCAGCTTCATCATATAATTCAGCATCAGACGATGATGTCAACGATGATGATGACAATGAAACGGCTTGATCAATAGTAACAACGGCATCGTTATCTGAAATATCGCCAGCTACTGGATTCAGTGAATTAGCGATGTCCATAAGATCGTCATCTTCGTCTTCGTGTTCATTATTTCGACGAATTTTAAATACTTCGCTTTCATTGCGTGCCGAGTGGTATTAACGCGTACATTATCTTGTTCGTTGAGTGGTACTTTTCGAACAAAATTTATTGTTTATATCTAGAATTAATAATATGCAGAAATAAAATTAAACTAAAACCAATAAACAACAGTAACTAATTATTTTAAAACAAATGACATACATGTCTAAAAATGCGTAGTTTATTTCAACAACTCGATATATTAGCATAGATTGATAATGTCCATGTTAATCGAATTGATCATTTTTTTTAGTATTAAAATTGACGCTAGTAAACTTCAGTAAATTTCTAAAAAACAAATATAATTATTCAAAAATTATTTCATAAAAACTTCTAATTTAAGTCTCTTCATTCTCATCATTGTCATAAAAAAATTTCATTTTTACAATTGCAAAATATTTCGTTCGTTGAAAAAAATCATGATTAATATATTTAAGAAGAACCAATATATCATCATTAATCGATGCATAATTATTTAAATAAGCGTTTTCATGCTTATATGAGATAAAGACTTGGCCGTTATAACGTTTGTTATCTTTATGTTCATTCTTTGTTTTTATTGGTTCATATGTATGAGGACTGTAAAAAAGCTTTTTTTATTTTTTTTTCTGTTCTGTTATGATTTATGAATACTTTTAATAAAATAATTCAAATATTTGAATTATTTTTTTCTATTAATGATGTCGCTTTAGTTTATTCAAGATCTTGGTGCAAGATAATTACAGTTTAACTTTTTTTCAGTCTTCTGACAGTTTTGATATCTTGAGCAAAGATCTTAAGAAGATCTGTGGTACAAGATAATTACAATTTAACTTTTCTTCATGTCTTTTGAAAAGCTTGATATCTTGCAGAAAGATCTTAATAAGATCTGTGCTGCAGACATGTAAGATATGATCAAGATATGCTTTCTCAAAAAAAAGAAATTATCTTTTTAAGATCTTGGCAAGATCTTACTTACGAATTCCAAGATTTCCAGATCTTACTTACAAGATGTTCGACTAGGGTAGCGTATCTATGTTGCACATTATATGATTTAGTGCGTGTGCATTTGCAACGAGCCAATCTTTTAATACTCCTTCAAATACTACTGATTTAAATTTAACTACAGCAACTATAAAGCTGTCAGAGGGCAGACCTAGATGATATCATATATATTAAGTCTCCCTCCATCTCTCTTTTCCTTTGTTTCTCAAACTATATATGTACACGTATTTACAAAATAAAGTAGAAGTTAAAGATAGCGAACGGATTGTTCGCACACCACAACACTCTCTCTCTCTTCTCCATCGTTAACAAAAGCAAATCAGTAATAGAATACGATCAGATGAAAAGCACTGTTATCATTGTTATTTATAGCACAATGGAACATTTATATCAATGGATATTTTTTTAACGCAACAAAAATCAGAAATTGTATTTATCCAGTTCGATTATTCCTGAAGCAGTGTCCCATGAATCGGTTTCGGTCACCGGATCCATTCAACGGGAATACTGCATCCATAAAATTTCCGTAGTACCACGGAACTGGTCGTTTCCGTGCTGGATTGTGCGACCTGGTTAATGAAACATTAGAATCAATAAGAATGTAGTTTAATATTTTAAACATCTTCAACGTGCTTGTTGTATATACGATTTTCGGTGGACCAAAATTAATTAGCTGCGCATCGTTGTTATCATGTCTATTGATACTAGTATCAATATTCTTTAAAAATAAAGATGCTATAATTATATTTGAAGCAAGTGTCATTTTACCAGCTATTTTTATCTGTGCAAAATCGATATATGTTTTAATTATATGCATTATTGAAATCGACAAAAAAACTTCCGGCAACAAAAATGAATAGACATTTTTTTCATTTGATTAAATTATTTTCCATCCAAATGTCATCATATTCAGGTGCTCGAAGTAACACATTCAACATGGTCGACATTCGAAAAAAATTATATGAAAATATTAAGAGAAAATGTTTTATTAGATTAGTAAGTAGAGAGTGTATCTAAGCAAAAACACACATTCAATTACCTGTTTTTATTTCTTATTAGCATCCACAACCACTTGATTATTTATTAAACAAACAAGTACATAATATTATCAATTGGTTTGATTTTAATTTTTATTTATTTAAAACATGAGTATTTCAATGAAAACTTAAAAATAGAACGAGAAAAATTAAATATGTTCCAAAGAAACCCAACAAATTTGAAGTATGATATCAATTATAAATCAAATAGCAATAATACAGTCTTAAAATTAACATTTGAGGGTGGATGTAATGTCTCTCTATTTACCATAAATCTCACGCCCATACCAACCCTCAAGATATTATTCTTCGTCTCGTTAGTTTTATTCAAGGCTTATATATATACTGAATTTCATTTTATGATTGCAATTAGATTTATAATAACGATATAGAAGTTTTATTTCAAAAAATATTAACAAAAGAAAGCTAATTCTAATTTAAAATCGATCGTTAGGGGCTTGGCAATTCATTATAACTTTTTCTCTTCTTGTTACTGGTTGTATTTGTAGGGGGTGGTAGTGATAATGTTGACGCTGCGTACATATCTAGAGGCAGACCCCATTTTTTTGCGACGTTTCTACTGATTGTAATTGTAAGGCTACGAACGCCTGAAAACAAAAAGAAATCCAAGTAGTAATATAAGTGCTTTTAAAGGTTAAATCAATTTGCTTAACTTACCGGAAGGTGGAAAAAAAATCTATTTTGTCATCGTACACTGTTTTAAACTTGACTGTACAAGGTTCCACATCTTTAAGTAATTGAAAAGGTTGTTGTTTAATAATGTAGTGGCAGATATTCACTAATCTTTCGAACTGTTCTTGCTGTATCGGATTCAAAACTTGAGATGGTACTGGTGGAAGTCAAAAGATCATTGGCTCGCGTTCCGGTGGAGAAGAAAATGCCAATTTTATTTGGGTACAGATATTGGGGAGTTGTTGTTCAAAATCAGCGAAAATTCCGTCAAAATCCTCCTTGCAGTCCGTGAGCCGCCGACTATTCAAAAACAAAAGAAAAGTATAAATTTCAATTTATCAGAAAAAACTCTAGAAAGGTGAATACATACGGGCACAAATCTCGATATGCACAGGACACGGTTATAAGGTCAATTGGCTTTTTTTCCGTCATTGCCTGTAAATGCCCAACATTAATTGGGCAATTGTCAGCTACCACAGTATCGACCGGGATAAAGTAGTGTCGTTGATGATTCCGGTTTCTTGAACATTCGACAATTCGTCTCAACAGACACACCATCTTTACCAACCAACTTCATTGGCGATTCATCTTCAATAAAAGAAAATAACAAAAGCTGTAGAATTAGTTATTTTTTCAAAAAATTGACACTTACTTATATAACACGGATGGTGGCCCCATTGGCCTCTGATTTCCACAGGGCTTGTACTTCTATCCTTGTGTAAAATGCGATATAAATCGCGATACACAAACCGTGCACCACTATCACCTAAAAATAAAACATTTTTATTATTAAAAATACGGATCATGCCCAATTGAGTTGGTGATGGCAGAGCAGCTGGTTGACTGGAATGAACCATGGTTGTTTCTTTAATCCGTTGCGCCGTGGCGCTTGCTGTACGTGGACATTTTGGTAAACCACGAAATTCTTCCGACGGGGACAATAACAATGATGATGAAGCCATTGTAATTTGGATATTGCACGCGAAGATTGACGATGAATGATACAAAATCAAATTAAACAGCTACTTTTATATGTACAGTTCATAATGGACGTCCATTGTTTACATAATAGTCATTCTTCAAACAATCAGAAATACGCCCGATCCAGTCAACAATACTCCTCTATCATCTTCTCTTCGTCCACGAGGACATCTTTACGCACCGACCTCTATATCTATGACATATTTTCTGCGCGTCTTTTAAAAACTAGCAGCAATTTTTGGGGAAGTATTCTAATTAATACGAATAAAACGAAGATACTTAGAAATCCAAAGATTTATCTGAAACTGATAGCGTTCGGAATATTAAAATGAATACAAAAAATGTCAAGATACTTAGGAATCCACAGATCTGTGGCATTCATATAGTATTTAGAGTATTTAAATTAACTGAAATAAATTAATTTTGTCGATGGATAAAAAATTTTTAATAAATACAGTAGAGATAACGACTGCTTTAAATTCGATAATTAATTTATTTTTATTCTTGAGGATGTGGTTTTGACTATTTATCGTTTCTCATTCACACAACGCCGATATCCTCACCCGCACCGGCAAGTTATGCGTGATATTCTTTTAAGAAGTATTTATTCTATTGATTAGCGTCTCCATAATACTTTGTTTTTATTGCTTAGAATTGGATATAGCTATTTAATTGTACAACAAGCATTCTTTGTTACATTTATTTGGACATTGTTACTTCTTATTTTAACACTTGTTATTTTTAATTATTGTCATTTATGATATTTTAATTAAATTTTTTTATCCTAATTACAAAAGAAAAGATTTCGATTTTATTTGTATTTCAATATTTTTTATTAAATAAATATGTATATATCACATTATTTTTGATTATTATCTTCCTTTTTAATGTCAAATGACACATTATTTGTCCAATCATATGTACCAGCATCTCGTTCTTTAACAGCTGTTTTCCATCCAACACTTTCTGATCGATTTTTAAATGCGATTCCTTCAGGTGAATGACGTGCAATACCATCAAATAATGTAGCAAACATTTGAGTTGTTCTCAAACCCATATTTTCTAATGTTTGATTAATCATTAGCTTTTGCATAATAAGTTGATTAATTGGTATAGTAGACATTCGATGAGCTAGTTTTTCGACTTCATTATTTAGTTGTTCTTGTGGAACAGATTTTAGTACAAGTCCAAGTTTTTCAGCTTCGATACCAGTAATTTTATCTCCAGTTAACAACATTCGCTTGGCTTTTTCTATACCAAGTCTTAAATATAAATTAGTAGTTTTTAAATATATAAAACATTTATTATCACATATGTTACCTATATATCCACATAGCAGTTGTTGGACAACCCCATACACGAACTGGCATATATCCAATATGTGCTTCATTAGCCATTAAAATAATATCACAACATAGAGCAATATCACTTCCACCAGCTAATGCATCACCATGAATTTTACAAATAGTTGGTTTGAATGAACGAAATAAAGACATAAAATATTCCGTATTTTGTTTCATATATGTATAATCTTTCATTGAATCCCATGGCATATCTTGCACGGCTTGTATATTTTTATTTTGAGCATAATATGATAGATCATATCCAGAACAAAATGCTTTACCAGCACCAGATAAAACAATAACATGTACAGACGAATCATTATTTGCTTTTTCTACACATTCAGATAATTCTTTTGGCATTAAACCATCTATTGAGTTCAATACTTCAGGTCGATTTAACGTTATGTAAGCTATTCGATTATTAGTTTCATAGTTGATTGTTTTAAAATATGCACGTTGATAATAATTTATATTTAATTGTTTAGATCTATTCACTAGAAATTGACCCAAATGTTTAGATGTGATTGGCACTATATTTGTTTGATTAAATAAATTGAATGACTTTGTTAATATTACAGACATAATAAATAAAAATTGAGCAATCTACAAGATGAATCAATTGAATTATTTAACGAAAAATTACTTTTAACTTTTCTAACATAGAATGCATTTTCCAACTATTCTCTTCTTTTCATCGTTAGATGATTGTAATTAAAAACAATAAATTGTTTGAAAAAATTAGTAGTGTGTATCAACTTTGATTTTGAATTGATTTGTATATAGGTATATAAAATTTGGATGGATTGATAATGTATGATATTTCATGGACAAACCAATTATAATAGAGAATAAGAAAATCAAAAGATGTTATCTGTATACAACAACGATAGGCGAACTTTTAGCAAATTCTAAAAGTGTAATTTACAACGGAATACTAGATTTTTCGTTTGATCTGCAGAAAGTATTGCTACGAGAGGATCTATATATTTTAATACAAAAGAATTTTTGTAATAAATTACACACTTCAACAAATATTATTCGATATTTACAGTTATGAATAGAGTTCAATATATGAATGACAGTAGTGTATTAAAGGGATATATGTCGGATGGGAGCCACATATAGCTTTTGATCGAAATCGCAGTCCTTCTCGAAAAATCATAGAGTTGTGACTGACTAATAGCATGGATTTTAAGATATTATATCATACAATATATTTATTAAATGAAAGATAAAAATAGTTACATATATATATATAGAAAAATATTTATAAAATAATTTTAACATAATTCAAAATTTTCTATTGTATCCAATTGATCTTTATCAATTGTTTCAAAGTCTTTTTCTTCTGTTGTTTTTATATCTAAATTTTCATTTATTTCTGAAGTTGCATTACATACAAGTGATTCATCAAAACGATTTACTAAATTATCATTTGATGCAATCAAGGATGCAGGTAAATTTAATTTTGAACAAACATCACTACAAATATGAGTACGGAAAAATTGATGCATACCCTTAATACCAAGATTAGTTCGTGTTTTTTGAAAACGTAATAAATCTTCACAATGTAATGCTGGATCTGTTAATAAATAAGCACAATCAACTTTAACACCTTGTAAATCAACAACCATAAGGCGACCAGATGTAATATGATATGTCCAATGAGAAAATGCTTGTAAAATGGTTGAATATTCATTTAAAGATACACCACCACTATTATTATTCCATTTATGCCATTCCTGATGCATACGCCGTTCGACTTGATAAATTTTCGTTGGATTTAATTTTTGTTGAACTAAATGTGCATCAGCATAAATAATTGGAAGAAAATTTCGAAAAATACGTTGTTGTTCAATATTAAATTGTTCTGCTAAAAACTGTGCAATAGCTTGTATTTCAAGATGTTCTTGATAAACAATAAATGTATTTGCTTTTGAATCAGCATTAGCAAGTTCTTTAAAAACAACATCAATAAAATATGAATCATCATTTAAAAATTGACCATAAAAAGCAAAACGTAATGAACCTTTCGCAAATGGATTTAATGCAATTTTTATTTCTCCATCCGTTTTATTAACACATAAAGGACGAAAAAGATCTTCAATATCATTTGGTGGAATTATTTCTGTTATATTAACACTATAAGTTTCTAGAAGATTCCAATCAGGTTCTTTGTTAAATATTGTATAAGATTTAATTCGTTTATTTGTATTATGATAAGAAGATAGTGTTGATTTAATATTACTTTGTATAATAGCACTTGTTCGTTCAATAATACGTTTAATTAAACATTCAGGATCATCAACATGAATTTCTGATATTGATCCAAATATAAAAGCAAATTTTTCAAACATTTTCTTTGTTGTTTCATTCAATTGAATTTTACAATATGTAATACCTAATTCTTTTATATTAAACATTAATTTTAATAAATCTCGATTTTTTGGATCACCTTTCAAATAATTATCATTATCTGTTCCTTGAAATTCATGATATTCTTGTCCATGACATGGTGCATCACAAATATGAATTAATATACGATTTGGATTTGACCATGATAATTGACTAATAGCTTCTAATCCACCTGAATACAAAATAAAACAATGAAAATCTTTCTATTTGATATCATTTTAATACTTACTAAATACATCTTCACATGTGTCATTCCCACCCATTGCTTGAATATTATTTAAATATTCTTGAAATATATTTTCATCATTAGTAAAATCGAGTTTTTCCATATTTTCATTAATATCTCGATAACCAACAAAAGCAAGATAAGGTTTTGTAGAAAATAAATGTACAATTGCTTCTGTGAGTTGACGAATTTGATTTTTAGTTGCATCAAGATATTTTCTCATACTACCTGTACAATCCATAAGAAAACATAGATCAATAGTGGATTGAGCTTTAGTTATTTTTAATATTTCATCAATTTCATATTTTCGTTGAATAAGTTCTTGTTCACGTTGTTTAACCATATTTTTCTTAACTATATTTAAGCCATCAGCTGTATTTAATAATGATGACCAAGTTCTAATACGCATTAAAGCATCTTTTGTTGTTGTAAGTGTATGATGTAAACTTTGATTATTTGGATGTTTACGTAATTCAACCAATTGACTTTTAAAATGAGTTGATAATCGTTCAAATTCAGCATCCAACGCATCAATATCAATAAATGAATCTAGTGTCTCATCTCTATTCCAATCAATTGTTGGTGCAGAATTTCTATATGGACGTTTAGTAAGACGAATCGAATCGACTGTATCTTTCAATATAACATCATTTAATATTATTGAACTGTTTTCTAATGATTTTGAATAAGATTGATCCATTTAATAGATATTTCAATATTCAATAGTTTCACACACTACAAAAGAAAAAGATAATATTCTTACAACTATATATTATAAAACATTGAGTATTTAAATCGATTTAATTCATAAAATTATATACCTATACTTGTTTCTTTTTAGATTTTGTCTGGCCCTATTAAATTATGTATAAGATAAGTAAAAATAAAAAAATATCTTCAAGCACGTTGTTGAGACAATTATAGAAAGAACGTGAGTAAGAATTTTCATCTCATATGACCATACTCACATGACTCTGACGCAAAAAACTTATTAGATAAGATGAAAATAATGACATGAAAAACATTTTTAACTTAATTTATGATAAAAGACGTGCAGATTTCTATTACGGATATTTTGTGTGATGGTCACACCTTTTTCATAGTAACGTCGATATGAGAAAGAAAATTGAATTTGTTTATAAAGTTTGATAATCAATATTTATCATACAAAATAAAATTCTATTGTATTCATAGGTATCTATTTATTGTGATTGATAAAAAATAAAAAATAATAAAAGAATCTAATACAGGTATAGTTCAAAGAAAAATAGGTGGCTTGTATAAGTAAAATATAAATTTATTTAAGAATGTTTTTTGTCTTGATTTTTATCAGCATCTGTTTCTGTAGAAGACGATGCATTTTTATCATTGGAATTATCCAAGTCATGTAATAATTTAAGACTTTTTATATATTGACGTGAAAAAACATCTAAATATCATATAATCAAAAGATATATATATATATATATAATGATCTTACCTATATAATAAGATGCTCCATTATAAACACTGAAAGCAAATATTAAGCAAATAAATATGCCATTTAAATACCTAAAAGACAAATTGTTCGTTTTTCTTATTATAAATAGAAGACTATCAACATACATATATTGATAAAACCATAGACAAGCTGGTAAAATCGAAATAAGCATATATGCAAATTGTAGAAAAAAATAAAAGATAAGTTTAGCAGGATTGATTCCATTATCTTCTCCTCCAAAACCAAATTTATCCATAAGATGTGCAAGAAAACCTTTCTTATCATTTAATAACCATGTATATGATGTTACTCTTGATCCACTTGCAACTTTGTCTCGACGTCCATAGACAATAAATGCATAATATAATACTTGCCATAACAAATAAAAAACAACTGTATAAAAAACAGCTGTACCTAGTGGAAGTGTTGAACCAATTTTAATAATAGCTGGATAATGTTTAACTTGAAGATCAATTGGTAAAATCCATCGAAGAGTAAATAATGTTAATGGTGGATACCTAAGTAATAAAATCATGTTAGATAGAATAATTAAGAAAATCAGATAAATTTATTTACATATGAATGAACATACTCGTTATTTTATCCAAACCTATAAAGAAAAATGTGAAACTTTCAGATAATAAAATTAGATAGATTGAAATTTCTGTCTATTTAACATTTACTAAGTTTACGAGATATCAATTTTTTAACACGAGTTAGTGTAACTTCGAAAGTAGAGCTTTACTGCTAAAGATTGAGATTCTTAATTTCATCAATTCCCATCATTATTGAATAACTAACTATGAAAAACGAGTGAATTGTTCCACAAGATAATTGCCAATATTAACGGACCATGACTTAATGTATAACAAACAGTAAAAAGTATTTCAGATGATGGTAATATCCATAAATAAATTAAAGTTAGTAAGTTTACAAAATAACATAAATCATAAACTAAATAAAAACAAATTCATTTTGATAAATATAAGAATATACAAAAACTTCTATCTTTACCAAAATAATGCCAATGTTTATGTTTGTAAATAAAAAATCGAAGTGTTATAAGGAAAAGTGCTTGAATTGTATAAAAAATTGGTAATATATGAGGCCATCGACTAGCTAAAATTCAAATAAATAATTTGAATTTCCTCGAAGCAAAACAAAAAGAAAATTTTCTACATACCAAGTAGAGGAGAAAAACAAATATTAGCAACTGAAACTGTAAATGTAATTTTATCTCTTATCCGAATAAAATCTGGTTTATTTAAATTTTCTGATAATATATGAATACGTCTTTGTAATTGACTTTTAAGTAAACGTTTTTGTTCATCAATATCATCTTTTGTTCGTTGCCATCGTTGTTGAGAATCATCTTTATGTCCTTCAACTTAACAAAAAAAAAGAACTCAATCTTAATTTAAAAGAAGTTATATTTAATTTTCTTTCATACTTCGACGTGTTATTGCATCAACTTTATCTGCAAAAACTTCAAGAAAATCATAGAGATTGGAATCATCGTCTTCTTTTTCCTTTAAATTTTTATTTTCTGTCATATCTAAAAAAAAGAAAAACATTGAACACAATCATGTAAATATGATTTTGATTTAAGAATTAATTCTACATTTAAATTGTATATCGGAACAAAAAAAATGATCTAATACACAAATAATATTTCATTCAAAAGATTCGAAGAAAAAAAAAAGATCTATCTGAACACGCACACATACTATATTTCAAGAAAACCTACACACATTGTTTCTTGTCCAATTAATGCAATACTTGGTGAAGAAGCGATATTATTCCATTTAATTTCATCAATATTATGTTTTGATGATTCATCAGGCAGATTAATACATGATGCGCCTTGTGGTGTCCATATATAAATCCTATTATTATGAGTACATAATGCTAAATGATCACGTTTTGGTTCCCATTTTACACATCGTATTGGTTGAATTTGTATAAGAACAAAAGCTAAATGGAATGTTGGTTTAAAATCATATATAAATAAAAGATTTGGCATTGTATCATTAATTGTTGATAAATAACGACCTGAACATGAATATTCAATAGATGACACACCTAATCGAGGATTCGCACGATCAAGATCAGGTTTTATTGGTGCTATTTGAAGTGTACCATTATAAATAATATATTTCGATTCAATAGAAACTTTTGTTGTTTCTATTTGTGATAATGCAGATGATGAGTAAGCTGCTGATGAATAAGGTTTACGTTGGCTAAAATATAAAATCATGTGTAAGTATTTTGTTTTGAAAATAAATGATACATCAAACTGGTTAACCTGGATTTTGTCGAAATGAGGTGAAGGAAGACAAAAGTGTTTTTATTCGACATTATTCAGGTGAATCAGTTTCATCCGAAATTACCTTGGATCATGTTTTTCTTGTGCATTTGAATTATATTCTTCTTCTTTTAATATTGTATAACCTTTTCCTGATGATAATTTTTGTGGATGTTCAAATGATGATTGAATTTTTTTATATGTTAAATAACTAAAAATAGTTATACGTTCTTCATAATCACCAACAGCAATAACTTGTCCTGTTGGTGACCATCGTGCACAACGTACACCTAATGATAAACGATCATTCTCTGGTTTATATGTATTTAATAATTGTCCATCAAGTGTATAAAAAATAATTTTATATTCATAAGAATTTTCCCATAAACATAAAACATCAGCTATTGGTGACCATTCAATACCTTGAAGATCTTCTAAATCACTTGGTTGAAAATGTGCTATCATTGACCAATTTGATGAATAATCAAATATTGATATATGATCTGTACTATCATTACGACGTTCAACTAATGCCATATATGGTTTTAATAAACTAAAAACATATGATTTTGGTGAAAGTTTTTTTGGATATTTTATATAAGAAACATTTTTTGATGCTAATGACCAAACTGTTATACGTAAATGGAATTGTGCTGTTGTTAATATATGTCGAGAATCTGGTGCCCAATGAACATTACAAAGACCAGCTGAACCTTCATCAATTTTACATTTCCATTCAGGATTATCTAATGAAAATACTTGAACTGCATTTCGTTTAATTAAACCAGCTAATATTAAACGTGAATCATGTGACCATTCAATTGTTTCAATTGTATCAATACAAGCAAATAAATTAATTATTTCTAAAGTTGTTGATGAACGAATTATTAAACGATATTGATTAACACATGCAATATATTCTCCATCAGGAGAAAATGAACATTGACGAGAAGTTACTTTAAATAATTCACTAAAATTCATCTAAAAATAAACAAAAATAATTGTTTATTTTGTTTCTCTTCTGTTGAATGTTTGGGGAAAAAAATAAATATATATATATACTTGCACATTTTCTTTTAACTAAATAAGAAAAAAAAGCAACGGTCAAATAGAAAAATAGATCAATTAATTGTTTTTTTTTCGTTATCATTAACTGAATTAATTAATGATTGTTGTTTAATTTTTGCGTCGTTTTTTTCTTTTCGTTCAATAATATGTTCTTTACGTACAAGATTAATAATTTCTTGTAAATGTTCTTTTGATAATTCAACTTTTTCATTACCAATTATTTCTAATGCCTAAACAAAAGAAGAAAAATTAAAATATTTCATTAAATTTAAATTTTTACTTTTAATATTTCATCTGCTTCAATAAAACCATCTTTATTATGATCAAATTGATGAATTATATCCCAAAGTTGAGCATCTGTCGATTGATTAGAGACTTTTTGTATTTGACGAATTGTATTGACAAATTCTTGTGTTGACACAAGCATATTTCTATTAATAAATAATTTCAATTAATAAGAAAATTTTATTTTTTGAATAATAGGAAAACCTTTTTTCTGTAAGAAAATCCTTATGTTGTTGAATTTGATCACTTTTTAATGATGTTTCATCTTTTAATGTATCTTCTTGAATCTAATAAATATTTTATTATTTAAAAAAAAAATAATAATTTCATTTTCAAACTAACTTTAATATCTTCTTTAAGTATATTTTGTTTTTTATCAAGTGTTTGAACAATTTGATCAAGATCACCAACAAGTTTATCAATACGTTTTGAAAGTGCTTTAGCTGAACGTGTTTCACTTAAATGTTTTAATTGTTTTAATGTAGCTAATGTTTCTAATTCTTTAACATCTTCTTTATATTCTTTAACATCAGCCTATAAATTAAAATAAAAGAATTTATGTCAAAATTCTTTCTTTCTTACTTTAAGATCTTGAATTTCTTCAACTGCACCATGAACTTCTTTTGCTTTTTGATTAACAAGTTGTCCAAGTGCAGTTTCAAATGGTCCAACATCAATATTTGATTCATCTTTTTTCTTATTGCTAAGTATTGGTGCTCGATCAACAAGAATTTCTGCTTTAGGAATATCTAATGGTGTTGTTGGTATAACGACTTGTTCAGCTAATTGTTTATTTCTTATTTCAATATCAGATAGAATTTTATTTTTAGCTTTTTCTTCTTTTTCTTTTCGTATAGCTTCATCTTCACGTTTAATATATTCAATACGTTGTGTATTATCAACACGTTCGCCACTAACTTGTGCTAATTTAACAGCTGTTACATTATCAATTGCTTTTGGTAATGATTGAATAGCTGCTTTGAGAACATTTTCTTGAGATATATTTTCTGGTAAATAAAGTGCACGTGATAAAAGTAAAATTGTTGATGGTATACGTTTATTAAGATGAAGATCAAGCCATTGTTGTAATTGTGAACGTAAACGTTCAATACTAACACCATATGAACGCATACCACGTTCACGACATGCTGCTTGTAATTCTTCAACATCGAGATTTTCAATACCTTCAGATTCAATTAATTTATCATCTGCTGCTAAATTACGTAATTTTAAATGTAGAGTAAAACGAAGATAATAATCAGGACCAATCGAAGATATACCAATTAGTTTACATAATGCAACTAATTGTGGACGATCGAGATTATCTAATGTTGATTTATTTTCAAATAAAGAAGAAAAATTCATTATTTCTTCTGTTGAAGGTTGAGCACCGGTTGAACGAACCTTATTTTAAATGAAATTCATAAACTAGTTCAAAACAATTTATAGGTTTTGTCCTCTGAAGATCTCGTATTACTGTAAATACATATCAACTGATAAATGAAATCAATTAAATATTTTCCTTTCATTACGAGTTAACCGCGTTTAGATGTAAAAAATTAAAATTTTGAATTTCACGCATGAATTTAAAATATAACGTCCGTTTTATTAAAATGATGTAATCAATAAAATGAAAACTATATATACCTTATTCATAAATTCTATGAATTGTGTTGGTAATGCAGCATCAGAACGTTTTCGTTTCGATTTTAAAGCTGTAGCTTCGAGTGTATCCTGTAGAAATTTTGCCATTTCTAATTTAACTTTCATTTGTTTCTTTAATTTTTCTTGCTAAAAAAATAAAACATCGAAATATAATTATTAATAAAAATTAAACAAACCTCTTTATCTGCTTCTTTGAATGTACTAGGTAACATATTAGGAAACAGTTTTAAAAAGACTGGTAATGTAAATTCCATAAATGGAACAATAATAAATACAGAGAAAGGTACAAGTCGAAATAAATCAGCAGAAGTACGTGTAAACTATAATGAAAAAAAAATATTTTCGAAAACGAAAATATTAAATTTTTTAATACTTGTTTTCGTTCTCGTCTTGTTAATGTATGACCATGTAGAACTTGTCTCAAAAGACGAAATGCAATTTTTGTTTCAATAAATAATAACTTAAAACCATTATAATAATGTTTTAATTCATGAATAATACGTTGTGAAAGAGATTTACGTTTAATAATTGTTGATTCAGATGTTGTCGTTGCAACTAATGAATCATTCGATTGAACGATTGGAACAGTCGTTGTTGATACTGATTGTTTAATTTTTTCTCCATCAATCTTATCTTTTTTTAATAAACTCACAGTTTTTTCTACTTTAGATCTATCATCATAAAATCTTGCAGATGAATGAAAATAACGAATATCTGTTGTACATAATATATGTTGACTATAAGAATTCGAGTTTGAACATGTTATTAGTTGTGGAATACTTGTTCGTCCTTAAAATAAATATATTTAAGACATTATATATTGAAATTATGAACATACCAATAGTTGATATGGACAAAAGTCGATTGCTTATCTGAATAATCCTCATTCAATAAAAGATTTAATGACTATTACGAAAACATACTCCAAAAGAAAAATTTATCTAAAATAAAATCGATGATATATTGAAGATTACAGAATTCTGATTGCGAACTATATTTGAAACGGTTCATTTATGACATATAAAAAGTCATTACATGAAATAAAATAAATATTTCTGTTACGAAATAGACTACCAATGATTTTATAGATCACTTATCAGTACTTTTATTATTTATTAGATAGAAATAAATAGAATTATCATTGCTAGTTGTTCCGAATAGTAAAGAAGTTGCAAGATTTTCTAGTAGAAGATATGCTACCCTATAACCTAGGGATCCGATCAGCGCCACATTCAATTAAACAAAATAATTGTTGAGTGGCGCTAAACACATAACCGCAACAACTACTTGACAGCTGAAAAGAACTAACTCCATAACAATCGGGGTATCTATGGAATATTTAATCAATCGAAAATAATACATCATACATAATACTATTATGTTTTCTTATTAAAACTATCGTTAATCAGATAATTATTTCTAAGATTCATTCAAATCATAAAATATTTGATATCGATTAATTTCATTTATTATTGAATAATATTTAATAAAATAGTATTAATTAATTAACTGAAATCACATAGCAATTGTTTTATATTCAGAATGGGAAAACGTTTGTCTTCTATTAATTAGAGATTGCTTTTCTACAAATTCAATGTTATATAAAAAAAACTATGAAAAATGATTAGTATTTTTTCTAAATTAGTTGTTTTTCTAATACAAAATGATATATATATATATATATTAAATCAATGCAGTTGTTTTGTTTTATTAAAAATTTTAATTTAATTTAAGTCATATTCAATTGGCCGAAGTTTCTAGTAGGTGGCGCTGAACATAAAATAATAAATCTCCAGTAGAAGTGGTCAATAATTCCATAACGATAGAATCTTCTATGGTGACGAAAAGCCAATCGAAGAAAAGTTCGAACAAAATACTATTTTATATTTCATACTATTATGATTATTATCTAATAGTTTTAATTAAAGATTTTAATATCTACAGAGTCGATAAATCTACTGATCTCTTATAGATAATGCATAATACACTCGAATTACATGGTAAAGAAAGCGGACAAATATGGCATCGAAAAGGAACAGGCAAACATGGGTATCATATTTGATCCTGATTAAAATTTAAAACTAATATATATATGTTTAATTCTAGTCTTCTCGTTAATATTTTACATTCAATATATAATGTTGCTGATGTACCATTGAAGACAGTTCATTTTTTACAAGCAGGATTTGATCGAAATGGCGAACGATTATTAGGTGTTGATCAACGTGGAAATGTTTATGTATTTGATCTTGTTCGAAATAAGTATGAAATTATTCATTTTACTCAATAAAGTTTTACGAAAATGATTTTCTTTCAAAGATTTGAACTTGTTCATCGAACAGGTACAAGTTGTACAGCAGTTGCATTTAATCTACGAAACCCATCGGAATTTTTAATTGGCATGCCAGATTTTACTGTCAAATGTTTTGATGCTGGTATGATAGAAACTATTTCAATTGATATTTTTTTATATAATTTTATTAAATTGTTACTAGATAAAAAAGAATTTGTTGCTTGGTTAAAAGGTCATACAACACCAGTTAAAGAAATATCAGTTGATAGTAATGGAGATTTTTGTATAACAACATCTGCTGAAATTGCATTTTTATGGGAATTAAAAACATTTGAACGTAAACGTAAATTAACAATAACAAATAAAAATGATGTTTGTCTTTTTCGCGTAAGAATATACTGAATTCATATTCATTTATTTACTTATTTATGCTTTGAATTTTTAAGGCTTTTTTTTGTCCTGTATCAAATTATATTTTAACATGTTTTCGTGATGATTCAATACTTGTATGGGATGCTAAAAATTTAGAATTTAAATATCAATTAGTTGTACCAGAAAAAACTCCACCATTTTATCGAGCATTTGCAGTAACAAAGTATGTCTAATAAAAAACATAATCATAATCTATATGAAGTAAATGTTTTTATTAATAATTTAGTGATGGTAGTATACTTGTTTGTGGTGGTAAATCATCTTATTTACAAATTTGGAATCTTGAAACACATAAATTAATAAAGATCATTGAATTACCAAAAGTAATTAAAGAAATCAAAGAAATGTCATTTGTTAGTGAAAGTTTTGATGGTGGTTCACATAAAATAATTGCAATGCTTTGTCAAGATGGTATTCTACGTTTTGCTGATATTGAAACTTGCCGAGATTTATTTCAAATCGGACAAGAAAATGATACAATTCATCATTTTCTTCTTTCATCAAATGGAAAATTTTGTACATGTACATTACAATCAGGTCAATTACATATATATGATTTAGCATCAACATGGAAAGAATTAAATCGAGCACCATCACCCATTGTTCGAGTATTACGTTCAAATGATGATTTTAATAATGATACAACTAGTCAAATAACATGTTCCAAAGGATCAACAACAGCACGAAGTTTAAAATCAGGTAGAACATCAACAACAAGTACAGTAACAACGAATAAATTAGCTCTTAAAAAACGTCGTCATTCAGCATCCGATCGTTTACAATTAAAACAACATTATGCAACGAGAATATCAGATAAAACAAGTATATCATCAGTTACACTTGATCAATCAGCTGTAAGATTAAATAAAAAAGAATTTTTTTCTTAGTAAAAAAACTGTCCGTTTTTTTAAATTAGTTTCGTGATTTACCTGAAGGATTAAATTTTAAAAAACTTTATAAATTATTACGATTTTATGGTGAATATCCATCAAAATATAGAGCATTTATTTGGCGATGTCTACTTCGTTTACCAGAAAATCATGCAGCATATGCTGCACTTGTTGAAAAAGGTGGACATTTAACATTTGCCAAATTACAAGAACAATATCCATTAAAAAGTCGAAAATTATTACGAATTATGCAACGGTATTTAATTGAGACAAAAAAAATAATTTGTTTAATTTTTTCTCTTTTTTGTTTAGTGTATTATCAGCATTAGCTCATTGGTCATCAATATTTGGTGAAACAGATTTTTTACCATTATTAGCATTTCCATTTATAAAATTATTTGAAAATAATCAATTGATTTGTTTTGAAGTTATTGCAACTGTTATTTCAAATTGGTGTCAATTATGGTTTATGTATTTTCCTAATCCACCAGTTAATATTTTAGGTATGAAAATGAGAAATAACCTTTTATATTCTCTTATAACTTTTATTTATAAAGGAATGGTGGAAAATTTACTTACACATCATGATTATACATTACTTTCACATTTCGTACGTCATAAAGTAACATCCCAAGTAAGAAAAAACAAAATAGAAATGATAAAATCTTCTTGAAAAATCTTTTATTAGATCTATGCTTGGCCACTTCTTGAAACATTCTTTTCGGAAATATTTAATCGTGATGAATGGCTTTGTTTATTTGATCATATATTTAGTAATCATCCATCATTTATTCTATTTATTGTTACATCATATTGTATCAATAATCGAAGTGCTCTTTTACGTGTAACTGAATTAGATGATTTTAAATATTTTTTTCATCATCGTAATCCAATATTAGTACAAACAATTTTAACTGAAGCTTATCGTTTAAGTGAAGTAACACCTGCTGATATTGATCCAAAACGTATGATTGAATCATTTCAACCATTGACACGTGGACAATATCCTGTTTTTAATAAATATCCGAAATTTATTGTTGATTATCAAATACAAGAAAAAGAAAAATTAAGAGAAGAAGAAATGACTTATATTCGACAACGGTAATATAAAAATTTCATTTTTAATTATAGAGAGATTGTACTTTTCGTTTTTTTATTTTTTAGTGAACTTAATGTTGAAATGTATCGTGAACGAGAACAACGTCGACATGAAGAAGAATCATGGCTTCGACAACAGGTTTTATAAATATACTATTATAATTCATTATTTAACTATTCATATTTTCATTAGCAATTATTAATGGAATCTGAAGAAAAACGACGTAAATTATTAACAGAAGAAGATACGCGTGTAAAAGAACAAAAAACTAAGTAAAGTTTTTCATTTTTCTTTTTTTTTATTATATAATTCATTTATTTGAATAGACTTCAAACACTTAATCAAGAAATCAAAGTAAATTATTTTTATTAGTATTCAATATCCTCTATTCGAATTTTGCTAGGTTCGTGAAATGCAATTACTTGATGTTGCTCGTCGTAAAATGCTTCATCAACAGCATTTACTCAAAGAAGCTGAATTACATCGACTAGATGATGAAATTCGAAAAAAAGTTTGTCCATTTTTTATTTGTCATATACATACAACGTAATTGTTTTTTAATCAATATTATTTAGGCAGGAGAACGAAAAGATGTTTTAGAATCAGGTATCAAATCGGCTGAACTCAAAGCACTTGAATTAGAAACTCAAACAAAAATTTTAGAAAATGTAATAAAAGTTTTATTAAATTAAAATCTTATTTTTTTTTATTCTATTAGCAAATGCTTCGATTACAAACAACAAAACCATCTAATGGTGCAGCTTTTGATCTTGATGATTTAATTGATGAACAAAGTTTCAGAGCTACAACAAAAAAAATTGTTGCTGATGCTAAGGTTTAAGAAAACTTCTTTTGTTTTATTTCTGCAAATATTTTATTTTATTTAGCATACACATCATTTTCCTAATGAAATATCAATGGATAATGAAAATATTGCATTACGTTTTGAAATGAAAGATGAAGATGCAAAAGAAGATATGACAGATGTAAAGAAAAACATTTTTATATATTTTAATTATTTGAATGCTTTTTCTAGGTATGGAAACAATTACGTGATGCTAAAGCAAAAGAATTGGATATGAAAAAACAATTGAATGATATGTATCAACAAAAGGTATAAAATAAAATATTTTAAAATAATAAACAATTCTTTTAATTTTTTTAGAACGCTTTAAATAGTCAAAATACAAATCAATTAATTCAAGTTATGACTAGTAGTAATAAAACTGCTATTATTACTACAACTGAAACAGAAAAACCAAAAGTATCATTAGCAACAGATGATGCTCCTACAGAATCCTATCATACATCAGGTAGAAATTCAGATTAATATATATAATTTAATTGAAACATAATCGTATTAACTTATAGAAGTTATACATATGATGAATCGACCAACTAATGTTCGATGTATCAATACACCAAATGGTTCAGTAGCTGGTGATACATCAGTATCATCTGCTTGTAAGTTAAATTGATATGAATATAAAATACAAAACTTTTTTTGTATTTAGTAAATCTTGATCGAGGTCGTGGTGAGCTTGAAAATGATATTCGAAAATTATTGACTGATATTCGTGAACGACGAACACGATTAGTTCATGAAAATTCACAATTAAATCCTTTTATACCAACATCAATTGATACTCATGCTGCTATTTCTTAAATCTCAACTTTGTTTTCATTTCATTTACTCTTATCAATATATCTTTGTGTTGAATTAGTATTATACTATAAATAAATGTTCATGTTTAGAATTCATACTTCAAATTTGCCTAGTATAAATAACTTATCAACATTAGCGTTTTTTTATGTAATTTGAAGAAAATGTTTAATAACAAGTGTTTTAGTAGAACGAAAGTTTTACTTTAATTGTCCCTTGATTTTATTGCACTGCTAAGTGTAGACCACAAGGAAGCGGAGTCTGAGTTGGAATTTGTAAATGATTTCTCACGTAAAAGTGGATCAATTTAGAGCTGAGGCATTAGTATTGTTATTCCTTGTCGTTTGTGGGTGTGGGTGTACGTGTGGCTATCTGGATGTGTATAACTGCCTGGTTGTAGGTGGGTGGAAGAGGTGAATACACACCTATACTAATATCCGTACGCACACTCATTCACACCCACTCACATCCACATCCGCTCACATTCACACCCTCAAGATTACACACTGGCACATCTCGAAATACGTATCTGTTTTCGATATACTTTCGACTTGAAATTTGTTGCTGATAAACAATAGTTGAGACTAACAGATAGGACTAGTCTTTTCTCTAGGAGATAGATTTGTCTGTTTTCTATCAGTTTCCGCCGCGAAACTATACTTTATTTTCATGATTAAAATAAAAGAAGGCATACAAGCAAATTGATTTACATAAAAACGATCGAGAATATATGAAACTGTATATTATATAACATTGGTTCAATGTTCAGTTCTTAATAGCTTTGGTTGGAGATGCCGTATTCATCGACGATACATGATTTAAGACGGTTGAACTATTTGTCCATTCTGACATATCGACGTTTCCAATCTCGTCAATACACGTAATCATAGCTTTTGTCGATTCAATTGCTTGGGTACATATTTGTATATTAAGTTTTCGATAACGTTCACTACCACTTGTTATTGTTCGCTGAATTTGATCTGTTTCATTTAGAATTTTGTATGCACCAAGTTCTGCTTTGTTCATGTACCTAGAAAAATCAAGATTAGCATTGCTTAACTTAGCTAAGAGATCAAGTATTTTGTTTAAATAATCAAGTGCTGTTGTATTATGTTTGGCCCAAAGCTTGTTTACGAGTAAAACGACACTTCCAATAATACTTCCACCTAACAAAGCTGCGACAAGTAGAGCAAATACAGGAGGAAAGGCCATACCACCAACTATGATTACACCAGCACCACCTAATGCTTCCACACTAATTGCTGCTCCAGCAGCTGCAAAGCCTCCAAAACCGCCAACTGTCAGTCCTAGCCAAGGAGCCAATTGGGCCACTTCTAGCCGCCCTTTTATTACAATCTGTTTTTGTTGGATATTGCCTTTCATGATAGCAATTTTTTCATCAAGATTATTACTTTCTTTTTTTGATGTTCGTGCCAATTCAAGTAATTTTTCGATGCCAGTTGACATACCTTCTAAAGCAATTTTAATATCTTCTTTATCCCGGTTTTCTAATGGTTCGGTTGAACTAGGCTTCAAAGCATCAGCGATAACTTCTATATGATTGATCGATTCTTGCAAATGTGGGATTACCAACGCCATATTTCGTTGGGTATTCGCAACTAGTTGAATAAAAGAATGTATTAGATCTTGTAGTTCACGAGCTGTATCAGCAAAATCATTTATCTCCTTTATCATTTCAATAAGTAATTGTTTAATCGAATTAATTAGTTCAGGTAAATGCCGTAAACGTTTCGCAAAGTTCATTTTGGCAAAATTTGTAGCAGCTGATACAAACTGAAAAAAACGTCTTGTTTGTGCATCATTCTCGAGACCAGGAAAAGATTCGAGGCCATGAGAAATATCAATATTTTCTTGGACAATCCCATTTTCTACTATATTTATAGCAGCTAAACATTCTTGTTGAATTACACTATCAATTTGTCGCTGTTTCTCAAAGTTTTGTTCGATAAGTTGCTGTGTCAGTATCGCCATTCCGAAGTCAGCCATATCCTAAGAAAAGAAAAGAATAATCAAGCATTTATGGTACACTATTCAAAAAACAGGAGATGCGAGCATTTCCTATTTCTCTATTTAAAACAAATATTTAGTTGCTGCGCAACTATAATTCACGTTATAATCGTTGCTGTTCTATATTACCTTGTGTTACAGTGTAACTTGTAGAAGATGATAGTTTGGAAGCTTTATAACAGTTCGTTTATTTAAGAATAAAACGCGACTATTTATAGGACAAGAAATAGTTACTTCGGATTATTCCTATTTCTTGTAGTACAATATAATCTAGGTAAACACTTAAGTGATGTCCTTTCATTCATCACTTGGAAATTTCAATATAAGTAAAAAAGAACAAAAGAAGAACGAGTTAAGATAAAGAAAGGAAAATATCATATGAACATATATGTGAGAGAGAAGGATAAAATCCCATATGAAGAAAAGAAGGAAAATACCAGGTAGATAGATATATGTGACGAAAAGAAAGAATAGTGAAAGAATAATACATATGTTCGCTTACAAAAACCTAACTACATATAAGAAAAATATACATAAAAAATATCTATTTCTACATATCAGATGTAACTTCTTGACGATGATATGAAATAAGTGCAGGTTGATCATGATTAATTCGAACAGCACCAATAAAACGCATAACATCGACAAATAAAATTTTATCTTCTGTAGATATTTGACCCTTTAAAAACTTATATGTTTGACATGATATCGAACCATCCATATCATCTTCTTCAGTCGTTGAGTCTTCATCAAAATATTCAGCTGGTGAAAGATAAAGGAAAAACTGAGGTTCGAGATTTTCGTGCATGAAAATCTCTTCTTCACCATTTGGCATTTTATAAATAAGTTCAAATTTTCTTGTTTGATCTTTTTTCGTTTTCTTCTTATTATTATTCATTCGACGAGTAAAATAACTATTTAATTTACGAATTACACCTTCAACTTTAGGACATCGACATTTCATTGATGATCGTTGTTGATAATCATCGATTGAACATGCATTGCACATTTCAAAATCTTTTGCATAATTCAACTTAAATTCATCTCGTCGTAAATTAAATATATCGTTTGTAACATATTTGAATAAATGTGGTGGTAAATAAGCAGTAATAAACCATCTGACTTGTTTATTTTTAATCAAAGCAATACGACGAGCACATAATTCTTTCAGACTTAATAAATCATTTGATTGTATTCCATGACGTTGAAATCGTTTAATAGCACCACATAATGAATTAAGATCACCTTTTATTCCAATAGCACGGATATCACACGTTGATGTTGTTCTATAATATCGACCCATGATCAAATTGAAGAATAAATCTAGGAAAACAAATAACGTTTATCTATATATATAATAAATAAGAATGTCATTCAAAAAAAAACGTAACGTGACTATATAGCTAACGAATAAACATTTAAATTCACCAATCAGTTTCGAGAGAGAGAGATCACCATAATGACTTCTTATCGAAAATAAAATAGAATAAAACTATAATTGTTTGTTGTAAGACATATGAATCCGATCCTATATTGATTGATAGTGTCTATGTAAAATCAGTTTTAATTAATCTACATCTGGACGTACTAGTAATAAAAAAAAGGTTTAAGACAAGGAAATTCACTATTCTTTATGAGCTTTCAAAAATTGAGGGGAATTCTCAGGGATGAACTAATATATATCATTTTTTTTCATGACATTCACGCTATTATTCATCATGTATTCACAAACAGAGACATTATTGAATGGAAGAAGTATTGACAAGATCTTGTCCGATCAGTTTTAGTACATGCTTAATAAAGAACAAAAAAGGTAATATTTCCATTTTAAATATAAATAGTTGATTTTTCTTTGATATCCACGTTATACATTCTTCATTCAAGATTTTACTACATTGATTTATCAGTTTGTTGGTCTTCGTCAAGGATTGCAGGACTGGTGAACGTCGTGTCTTATGAATCGGTTAGCTATTCCCCATGAAAAAAAGATCATCTTGATACTGATTTCAATATGTTCTGAACAAAGCAATGTGCACTATAATAAAATAGATTGTCCTTTCATTTTGACTTTGAACATAGACTCATTGAAAATTCACATCTTAATTGACATTCTTCAAACCACCAAGACTTGAACTCTCAAACATGGCTGGTTCACATCCTAAATTTTGTTCGAAATGTACGATACCTTAAGGAAATATAGTAGCTTTGCCAGAATCGATCGTATTCATGATAAAATGAGCTTCATTTTCTTAAAGGAAGCCTGCTAGGAGTGTGCCAGAAACAGATTCTTGTAGATCCATAGACATATTTCGTAGATGATGGAAGTACTTGTCTCATTTATGTAGATCTATAACCGTCATCAGATGGGAAAACACCCAGACATAGGATTAAACAACTTTTTTCAACAAGGAAACTTACCAGATCGTCCGAAAGCAGTGCTTGGTAAAGAAATAAACAAATCAATGAAATCTATTTATTGAAAATATTAATACTTAATACTGAAAAATAATAAAGTATTAATTCATATTCTTTGTCAATACATGAAAATCGAATATGAATTAGAGAAAAATCAATCTTTTTATATTTCAGTGGGATTTCTATTAATTAAAGTGTAGATTTGAACGTGAATATGTGCTTCAAGCAGAAATGGGCGAGTACGGACATTTTTGAGTACGAATATTTCAAGTATTTTATCCACGTGTTTTCTAGGAACATTTTATTTGACTGGTAAAATTATTTTACTCATTAATATTTCTTTTCTTGTTAATTTTTTTTTGGTTTCCTTCATAGTTCTTCAGATGTCTACTGTGCTATTGTTGATTACATTGTTTTTTTAATCAGTGAAATATGATTGTCTTACTGTGTCATTGTGCTGCTTAGTCGAATCGACAATGTCTTTGTTGATCATTTGACGAATATAATTATTAATATATTCAACAACGATCTTTTCAATAGATGTTCCAGAAAAATCTAGATGAACAACGACTCCTTCAATCTATATACCGTCTTTCAAGTGTAATAATCGTTGGGTGATAGTTTATTATTCTTTTCTATCTATTCTCAAAATTCCATTCCATTTTCATCATCTTGCAATTACTTCATCAATAAAATTCAGTTTTTCATCGAAAGAAAACGTTTAGAATCATTTCTAATCAAGTCAACTTGAACTAGTGTCAAAGCTCTCAATTACTCAACTAATTTTGATCATTTTCAAAAGATAAAATTCTATTATACATACTATTGTTCTATATGTTTGGTTAATTTAATAAATCAATCTAACGTTTCATCCCATATTTTGATATCATGTGTGAATTAATCGTCTAACTTTTTAATACGTAGACCATTTTAAAAGCAGTAAATCAATATGAAGATTTGAATAAGTAGAATAAAGTATTAATATTAAATTGACTTCTTATATTGACATTTAAGATTGTGTAATATAGATATCTATTTCATTATTTCATCGGCGATATGTTAGTAAATACTGTTTTATTATATAATAAGCTTGTCTTTTTGAGGAATGAAATGTAAAATGTATAGTAAAAAGAGGAAAATCTTTCCGATATATTTCATTTCTTATCTTCAGTATACTTCGTGTGTTACTTATTTTTTTCTTATCTTTGAGTCTTCTCATGAAAAGAAACACAAAATATACGAAATGACATTCAAATATTAAAGCAATTCTGTATGTGACTATATTTGTAAAGATTAAATTTGTTTTGTTTATTTTTAAAATTAATAATTATTTTTTATTAATTTATAAATGAGTGATTCTCTTATGCTAAGTTATTGTATTGCAACAAGATTAGATTATGATTTATTAGTTCTGTTTATTAATAATAGTTAAAATGGTTAAATAGCACGTCATGGATGGACAAATGAAAATGAATTAGTTGATGGACCAAGAACAAATGAAATTGCTTTAAATACTATTATTAATAATAATGATCCTATAATATTATTGTTTTTCATGTTGTAATTTTTTTCTTATAGGATCTTATTGCATTGTAAATTTTGCGAGTAAATGTTTTGACAAATATTTTGGTTGTGGGTGTGGGTGTGTGGGTGGGTGGGTGTGAATAAAGAAGAGAGATACACCCACACCTTTCTTTTATAATTTCGAATGGTGTTGGTTATTTTCCGATGAAGCAGTTTCACGAATATAGTTTCATTGATAAGTTCACTATAATATAAGGAAAATCTATAGAGATACGAAACGAATCTTATTTATAGTTACCTGTTCGTGTAGTACTTGTCAATATCGAATGAATAGCGAGCTTCGTATTCATGGTTAATACTGATTCTAAAACAATAAAGTGGTCCATCAATTTGTTGGCTACATTGAATTTTAGATCGTCTTTTTCGTATTCGTTGTCGGCTACAGCCCCTGTACCTTTGTGGAAGTCAATGATTTCTTCCTAGAAAACAAATTTTATAATAAAATGTAAAATTAAATTTTTACCTGTTGTTCGTTATCAGTAACGATGATATAACCAGCTTTGAGAAATGTATAGTGTGAAAGTAAGATTAAAAGATCCAGATCGGTTTTAATTTCGTTTTTATATAACGAAAGCAATGACGCCAAAAAAGGTAAGTTAGACATTGTTGATCTAGAATAGAAATAAATATAAACAAATGTTATTTTACATTGATCAAATTTAAGATGATCCTTTAAAAATAATTATTTGAGAAAAAAAATGAATATTTTATTATTAGTTTATTTACCATAATATTTAGAATTACAGGTTCCGTATTTGATTTGTTCTAGTTGTTGTTCTTGAGTATCATTTTCATGTCGAGAAGATGATGACTCTACAGAAATTAAATCATTTTGATCTGAAACATATCAATGTACGATATATGAATGGAGTTGCTGAGGAAACAATCTAATTTCTTACCGTTATTTTTATTTTTCATATTACCTTGGTTCTTTTCTTGATTTAATATTTCATTGTTTTTATTTAACACTGATTTATATGAAAAATCAAGTACATCATTGGAAGCAGTAACCTCTATCAAGAAACAAAACAACGAAAAAGTGGAGAAAATAACAATTGAAAGAGTTAAAATACTACATACCTCGAATAGATGAATTTGTTTCTTATTCAAATTCAGGATTACCAATTGATGGTGGATTTTGTGTTGTTTCTGTGGAAGTTTGATATTCAACAAATAGAGAATGTGGTGTTGTATGATTTCGAGTAGAACAAACATTATCTATATATTTAGATCATTACATAAAAGTATAAAAAATAAATATTATCACTTAAATTATACATACCATCTAGTTGTCGATCAATAAAAATATTGTATGATGATTGATTGAATGTATGAACAGAATTGTTAACTGAAATGATAAATTATAACAAAAGTCAAAAACATAATATGAAAAGTTCTGTTTGTCAAATAGATCTCTTTCTAAACTTCATTTCATCAAATTGTTATATCAAGAAAATATCTGAAAAAATCGAATATTTTATTACAACTTACCATTGTGAATGTGACCAAAATTAGTTAACGAACTTGAAGTGAGTGGTACAACACGTTCTTGATCAATTTCATTCGTACGTATAAACTCAATCTTTTGTTTTTGTAATTCCACTTTATCATATGCTGTTATAATGGTAGCAGGTGGACAAACATTACTAGTTTGATAGATTTCATGATATTCTTTCAATGAAATTTTGTGTTTATTTAATTCATTGATTAATTGTTGTTCTTCTAATTGATCACTTGGTAAGTATTTCATATATGATTCATATTTATTTCGATTATCGCATTTTAAAAATGTTCCTTTTTTCAAAATATTACGTTTGACAAATCGACTTAATAAATGATCAACAGTATCTTTATCAATATTCTTCAATACATCAATATTGCCAAATAACGTTGTTTTGTGAAAAATATTATAATTAACTTTTAAAATTCTTGTTTGAAGTTGTAATTCAGGTAAGGTTTCTTTATCATCAACACTTCATGGATAATTCATAACAGTAAAATGTTGAGGCATCAAAATCGATATGAATAAACTAACAGCTTCAGTACTTGTTTCCAAAGTAATCATTGAAGTCAATTCAGTATTTGTTGATGATGTAATACAATCAATTGATGTATTAATAGATGAATTATAATTTAATTGAATAATTTTTTCAGCTTGAGAAACAAATTCTTGATTACAATTAAGAAAATCAATGTCTTTCATTTGTTCAATGATTGTAAGAGCATCTTTCATGTATTGTAGATTTGATGCAATACGAATAATTAATTCTGCTCCTCGCCGTTCAACTACTTGTTCATATGATGTATTAGTATCAAGACATTTTAGAAATGGTTGAATATATGTAAGAGCATTAGAAGTAAAATTTTGAATTCGATTCCCGAACAACCCACGAATTACATAAATATGAGTAAGTGATGGTTGAGTACGATGTAATTCATTTTCTTTACCTATGTGTAAAAATAAAAACATTGATAACTGAAAATTGTCAGGTAGTCTAAAAAACTACGTTAGCAAAGATCAATCTCTCCTGATCAGTCATAGAGATAGAAGTAATCCTGTGAAAAACTAAAAGCATTCTACCATCAATATCAACAAAAACAAAGAAATCTTTATCGAAACTGCTATTGACATTCATAAAGAACATATATACCTTCGTGAACATAATAATTTACAGTTGTGTATTGAACGTACTTGTTTTTCATGTTGTGTTTTTTTGTCTTTTATAATTTCGAATGGTGTTGGTTATTTTACGACCGAGTTTTATTGTGAATTGTTTTTCATTTTTCAATTTACGAGAATATTCAAAGAAAATTTACATAGATGAGAAAATAACATTATTTATATTTACTTGTTAATACAATATTCAGAAAGATTAAATGCTTGGGGTTCTTCACAGCAATGGTCAATATCAAGGGTGATATCGTACGTCGGTCGGTCAAGTTTTTGAGTATATGTAATTGTTAAATCATTGTTTTTATATTTATTTATCGCCACGCTCGTTCCATCCTTGATAAATCGAATTATTTCTTCCTAAAAAACAAATTTTATAATAAAATGTAAAATTAAATATTTACCTGTTGTTCATTATCGGTAACGATGATATAACCGGCTTTTAGAAATGTATAGTGTGAAAGTACGATTAAAAGATCCAGCTGAGTTTTACTTTCATTTTTATATAACGAAACCAAGGGTTTGGGTGTGGCTATGAGTCACAGAGTCGGTGTACGGCTAGATCGGTAAAAGACATTTACACCCAAACTCTCACACACACACCCACGCCCATTCCCACACCTTGGATAGCCCATAGAATCTATTGCCATATTTATCCTACAGATCCGACATCGAATAAAATGTATTTTAGAGCATTTCTGCGATGTATATACTTCGAATTGTAGACTATCTGATAGACGTATATAAAGAATTAAAAAAATCAAAAATGTCATGAGTTTCTCTTATTATTGTTCGAAATGTTAGTCTGTAAACGAGAATAATAGGATGTTTTTTTTAGAAAGATTCACTGATTTCTGAAGCTTGAAAAATTCTCTATCACTCTGTGTATCGCTTTTTGTATTTCAGATTGTTTAATTTCACAGAAATAGCTTTTTGCAAACTTTATTATATGTTCTGATAGCCTTGTAATTTCTGCATAGGTGCAAAATCATAGAAGACAAAATTGAGAGATATATGAAACAAGTTAATTATTAAACGTTGTCACAAGAAGAATTTTTATTCAATTTTGCGACTATTTAGTAAAAAGTGAAAATTCTACTTCAATAAAAATGCAGATATTGCTAACGAGGGAACATCCCCAACTGTCCCCCTCCGATTTCAATGAAA